GTCGAACACGTCTATGCATGGGGATCCTATTTCCCTTATGATGAGCCGAAATGCTTCTGGATGGAGCATCCATTCCGTGGGTGACGGGCGAAGTGGTCGGGAAAAAACGTCTGCTAGTACGTTATTGGCTCCTGGTATGTGACACGCCTTTATCCAGATGTGTGCATCCTCCGTGATGTTGAACAACTGGAATGTGAGCTGAAGTAGGCTTGGCGATCTTGTTGAACCTTGCCGATTTATGGAGAATGCCACTGTTGAGTTGTCCGTGTGGACCATCAACATTCTGTTGATCAGCGAGCTCGACCATAGTTCTAAGGCGTTGATCACAGCTTTCATCAGATTGATGTGAAAATGCTGTTTCTGACCACTTCCCTGATGCTACTTGGTTGTTGAGATGCGCACCCCATCCCTGTAGCGATGCATCTACGTAAAGATGTGTGTCGAAGGCCTGCTCTTGTAAATAGCTCCCTCCGCAGACATTCGACCTGTGAGTCCACCTAGTAAACCGAGTAGACATTGCCATGTTAAGTGTTAACGGAGAGATGACTGCTTGAGGAATCATGGCTTGTATCTTGACCCAACGATCTTCTGGGGTCGCAATTCGATTCTGTGTTGTGATGAATCTTATCCCCAGGAATTGCAGATCTTGTTTTGGTTCCAACTCCAACTGCATCAGGTTCACTAGCCATCCTATTTGGCGTGAGCATTTTGATTGAGAAGTTCAGCTGCTGTCTGAGTAGATTGGCACTTTGATAAACATGTATGCCATCGTCCAGGTAAAAGCATTGTGTAGACCTCGATGATGTAGGTAGGCGACTATGGGCTTGGTTATTCGTGTAAATAACCCCGGAGCCAATTTTATATTCCAAACGGTTGGAATTTCCATTGGAAGTGCTGACCTCTGAATAGGAATCGTAGATATTTCCTTGATTCCGGATGTATGGGGATGTGTAGATATGCATCCTGGAGGTCTATGCTGGCCATATAGCAGTGTATGAAATAAGCCAAAACCCAACCAGACATCAGGGCTGGTAACTTAAAAATGTTATCAGCCCAAAATGGATTTAACCAGACCAGACACCAAGATATGTATGGAACATCTAAAAGTTTTACCAGACCATTGGGCTGGCTAGCTGTAAATCTAGACTGTCCATCAGAAATCTAGCCCGCCTCGGGCTGGTCGGACAGGCCTTATTTCATACACTGCATATAGTCTGCTGGACGAATTAGTAGTCTGAGTTGAGGTAGGTGGATCATTCTGAACCTTTCGGTTTGAGTAGATAGTCTTGGTTGAATTTCCACATGTTGTAAATCAACCTGAATATTCTTTGGAATTCTTCTTGGGTACTAGGAAAATTGGGGAGTAGAAGCCTGAGATGATGTTTATCTATTCTTTCTACCGCATTCTTGGTTAGAAGCGAGTTGATGGCTTCTTGTAGCTTGTCTGCTTGCTCGCCTGCATAGTTGAAGACCATCAGGTCTGAGGGTTAACAGTGGTGTGGCCTTGAGCTGCACTCTGTACCCTTCTCGCAGTACTTGTGAGACACAGTCCTCCAGTAAACCCCAATTTTCCCAGTACCTTTGTAGACGCCCACCCACTGTCGATGGTTGTACTGGAACGGCTGGGGTGGAAGCATCCAGTCGTTCCCAACCCCAATTTCAACATCTAGCCCCTCTGAAACCTCCTCTGGGAGTACGTCCCTGTACCTGAGTTGCCTCTGTAGTTTCGGTTGGGCTGACAAAAAGAGCTTTTCCAGCCTCTGAAGCTGGAGTATTTCTTCTCCTTAGCCTTCTGGATACCGAAATATTTCGACTTTCTGTTGTACTTCTGAGAAGTATGACTAATGATGTTGGCTAGAGTATCTATAGACTTGATCATCATAACTTCCCTTGAGTCGTGAGTAGCTTCCTTAGCTGCTTCATCTATCTCACCTCCGAAGATGGTAGGCGCTACCAAGGAGCTCTAAGTAGCGGTTGGGTAAATCTGTCACTCCAGGAACACGATGCCAGTAGACCCTGTCTCCGTAACAAGGTTAGACCACACGTTGAGGCCAAATGATCCGATATGAAGTATTGGTCCTTCTTCTGAGTGAGCAGAGCAGATAATATCATCCTACCTTCTTCCAAACTGGGGTTCTGGAACTTGTTAATCAATGCCTCATTGATTGCTCTGGATCTCGCTAATCCGAAGAAGGATCTCCTCGCCCTGGTATCAAGTTGGGCCAACTTTTTATCCTCCACCTTGTAAACCTTGTTCCGAGAGTCGCTGACCAGTTTTATATTCTCATCTAAGTCTGGCTCTCATAAAGGGGTTCATATGTAAGGGGAATTTCCTCGCATTAAATGCTGGCAGATGTTGATTCTGGAATCTAGTAGCTTTGTCAAAAGATATTTGTAGGTTCGATATTATTGGCTCAATAGGAGGAATGGTCACCGAGTCGAAGTCGCCCTTGCACATCTTATATGTGTATATTTCATCCAATTCCTTGGAGGGAGACTCTAAGTTCAATCCATTAGCTATCCAAGCTGTAACCTCCAGATCTGTGAAGACATAGTCGGTATGTTCATCAGATAGTTCTTGTTCCGTAGAACTGTGCCTTCGCTGAATCCTCCGTGTGCGAACCTTCCTTTCGCGAATGTCGTGATTCATCCCTTCGCGAACCTCTGTCTTGTGATCCATCCCTTCGCGAACTAGTCTCTCGCTGAACCCTGCCTTCGCTTCCTTCATTGAACCTTCATGTATGAGAGCTGTGGGATCTAGATCTGGAACGGCTGGCTCTTGGGGATGGATTCCTATGTTCTCGAACGTTGAGGGTTCGCAGACGAAGTTCTTGTAGAGTTAGTAGCCTTCGCGAACCTTCCATCTTGTTCTATGATGACAGAGTCGTCCGATTGTGATGACCTTCTCGAACGTACACGTTCGCCAATGTTGTCTGCAGATGTAGATCTGTGAGGCGTATTAGGTTCGCTGTAGGTCTGAGGGTTTGCTTACGCTGTCAGTTGATGAGTGGTTCTGTCGCGCCTTCGCTTCCTCATCAAAACGCCGCTCCATCATGGCCATCATTTGAGTAGTAAATTGCCTCATACAGTCGCCTGGATCGGGTTCTCTGCGTTGACTGGAACTGACTCGGCGTTGATGAAGCCGCTTAAGTAACGCTGATGTGTTGTGTGCTTCAACTTCACTGCGCTGAGAGAAGTTGGTGGTTGGTTGTCAAACAGCTGGCCCGCTGTTGTAGTTGCAGGAGACGATCTAGTAGTCGTGGAGGTCGACTGCATCGCCGATCTAGTAGGTACTTCAGGCAGAAGTAACGGTGGTTCATCAAACACGTCTGCCTCGTGCGGGTAGGATGATCTCCTCATTAAATGACCTCTGATGAGTTGACTTGCTAGGTCGTGTTGATTTCGATGTAGACCTAGTTATAGATGCCCTTTTCTGCTGTGGATGAAGCAGTAGTCTTTTTCTGAGAGAGGGAAAATCAACTCCGGCGTAGTAGACCTCTTTTCAACCCGTAACAGACGACTGCCCCTCCAACGCATACTCAACATAGCACCAGAACTATGTATTTCTGCAGTAGCAAACAACCTACGGTTTACCGGCTTGATCTCCAGGTTTATCAACAGTGACTTGTGATGACTTCCTCACCCGAACCATGGCACGTCTATAGATATAAGACAAATATTGATTAAATTGCAAATTTGATAAATCACTGCAATATGTACAACGTGAGGTGGAAGAACATGGCATAATGCACGATGGGCATTGGGGGTGAGGATCAGCCACTGATAGCCGGTGCCTGCAAACAATGCAAGATTTCATGAAATGTAAACAAGTTACAGTACGATGAAAAAAGTGTCACAAATTCCAATAATTTCTTCAAATTTTATATAATTAATACATGATAGTTATAGCCAAATACAATACACAGCGTAATTTTGATAAATAGGATCTAAATATAAAGGATATCTGCCGTATACGGGACTCCAGTGCTCCCCCAACCATCCGCTTGGGCGAAAAGGGAAAGAGTGACAAGTAAAGTCTGGTCACATGACTGTTTGCGCAGGAAAAGGGAGGTGGGTGAGTGTATTTTTACGTCCGCTTCGGGAACTACAAAGGATTCAAGTGTTCCACTACCATTGGGAGATAAGCAAATGATCATGAGTCAGGATAAGGAAAAATATACTATTTTTGACATGTTTTGAAGTCAAGAAAAAAAGGTGGGAAGCCTTTGTAATAAGTGGTGGGTGGTGGGAACCTGTGGGTAACCTGTGGAAGTGCATGGTGTTGATGTCTCAACACACAAGTATAGGGCATGCAGATGATGCCATTTCAATATGCTTGCAATATCAAAGGGAGTGACACCAGAATTTGACTTCCGTGGTGAACAGAACTTGGGGCCTTCGGCATGAAAACTGAATGTTTTTACCACTTGGCTGCCCCACTGCCCAGATAACACAGGTCATTAATGAGGTCCAGACTGTAAAGCAGACTGTTGTGCACATCTGCAAAACTGTTGAGTGCCATTTTGTCATAATCTGCATTAGCCAACACTGTCATCTCCTTAAATTCACATTTCTGCCATCAAGGCAAGTTGTAGTCTGCATGAGAAGGTAAGGTACTGACAGAAACTATCAGCTGCATGAAGATACAACCTACTTCATCTGTAAGCTTTTCAGTCAAATAAATGACAATATAGACAAAAGCAAAATAGTCTTCAGCATGTTACACCATGTAACAAATAGACAATATTAAACAATTTTGCACACATAAGCAAGCATGTTTTCAAATGCTGGAAGTGGTGCGATGTAAAGCACATGAAGCAGAAGCACTTTATAGAATCAGTTAAAGGTGTCCAAACAACACTGTACACACAGAAGCACAGCTTTGTTTACATTATAGCCATATTGCAATTTACTGGTCTGCCAAGAAGACCCTCTGCGTTGGATAGCATAACTTCTCTTCCTCTAAAAACAACAGTGATAGCAAAGATCTGTTGATTCACCTTGTATGCTCCATCATACTGTGCAACTTCTTCTCCCATTAGAAACACTTTGTCATCACGGGCTATCTCTTCATCAATTGCACTGTTTAAGGCATCTCGAACTGTCATCTATGAAAATCCAAACAGAAGATTTGTTACAACTAAAGCATATTATAATAATTCTCGTTGAAAAGTCATAATGGTATAATTACTACTGATACAAAAGTTTATTAAATTAAGTAAATATCTTCGGGATGATGTAAGGATGTCTCCAAAAGAGAGGATTCTTCGACTGACACTGTAAGAAGTTTGGAGCAATTTGTCCCACACAGTGAACCCAAGGTCAAATGCACATTTACAATACATATTTTCTGTACACATGTCCGTTAGATGCAGACACATGTAAGAAAACTAAGACAATGTGGATTTGTAAAACGACAATTAAAACGACAATTAAAACTCATAGAAGTTGTCGTCATTTCGTCATACAGCTGACAGAAAGCGAACCCTACCAACCTGAGTTCCAGAGCGTGGAGCACTCAAACTGAGGTGTCGCCTCAAGACGCACCATGCCGTGTTCTGGAATGAATAACAAACATTTTCAAAGTGATGCATCATTGGAAAACGTGAATATTCATAAACGGTTTTATTTGAAGCATAGAAAGTAAGAATTTATGACAATGAAGCAAATAGTTACCTTTAGCAGTCGACTGCTTGTGATAGCTGCCATGTTGATGGCCGTGCCGGACGCGATGTACCCAAAATATATTTATTGTAGAGCTATCCGTAGTGATCTCCCCTTTATTTCGTTGTGTTCGATTAGATTAACTATGAAGACACAATGACATTAAGAATGTTATTTTGGGGGCAGATTATTATACTTTTGGGGGGTTCAGTCCCATCCGGACGTAGACGCCGCAGTGGCTGAGTGGATTAGGATTAAATCGCTGATTTTTTGTGCTGGCGATTAAGTGCTCGCAGAGAGTACGGCTTCGAATACCGAATGGGACTCAACCCCAACAGGTACCAGAATCTATACCTTACTGAGAAAATGAAAGCCCAAATATAACATATTGTAGTGATCGGTGCTTCCGCAGTTGGGGTAACACTGGATGACCATCCGAAGCGGCTGGTATGTTTCCGGGTGTGATTAGAATTGATCTTCAGTAACCCATGCTTGACAGAGGCGACTAATGGGAGCGGGTGGTCAGGCTCGCTGACTTAGTTGTCACATGTCATCATTTCCCAGTAGCGAAAATCGATGCTGATGATGTTGATCACTGGATTGTCTGGTCCAGATTATTTACAGACCGCCGCCCTATAGCTGGAATATTGCAGAGTGTGGCGTAAAACTAAACTCACTCACTCACGCACCGAGTGTGATTGAGGCGCTAAAACTTGGTTTACCTCAAAGGGGAGAATGTCAGTGGGTGAACAAAAGCAGGTAGGAGAAGTACTTGAAATAGGTTTGAAATCTTGAGACCATATTGAGTGAGTGAGTTTAATTTTACGTCGCTTTTAGCAATATTCCAACAATATCACGGCGGGGGACACCAGAAATCGGGCTTCACACATGTAGGGAATCGAACCCGGGTCTTCGGCGTGGCGAGCGAACGCTTTAACCACTAGGCTACCCCACCGCCCTTGAGACCATATTGAATCAAAACTGAGTCCATCATCTTATACCAACATTTTGGAACAACGTGCCTATCACATAAAAAAAAGAAAGAAACTTGATTGTTGGACACCTCATGACTGGAGACATTACTATCCAGGTATTCCATACAATTTGTCCCTTTTTACATCTGATAAACAGGCGTTTTGCCAGTGAAGACACATTGACGGACGGGCAGGCTTTCGGAAGGACTGTGAGTGGGTTTGATTTTAAGCCGCTTTTAGTACTCTTCCAACAATATCACTACGGGTGACACCAGAAATTGGCTTCACACGTTGTACCCATGTAGGGAATCGAACCCGGAGTGTTTGGCTAGACGAGAGAACGCTTTAACCACTGGGCTACCCACCGCCCATTCGGAAGGACAGACCAAGCTGACCGACATACGGCAAGATCGTTGCTATTTGAGTACAATAATACTCAATGCAACACTATTTCACCTCGCCACCTACTCTATTTTCAACAATGTGTTCAAATGCAGATTAACTATACGCATAGTACTTATCTAAAATTGTCATGTCACATTTCCAGCTACAGGTACATAAGGGGCGGTGGGGTAGCCTAGTGGTTAAAGCGGGCAACGCTCGGCAATTCATCGTTGTCAGTCAGTCAGTCAGTCCAGCTACTAATCGCAATAATAAAGTTGATGGTGGTGATGATGATGACTTGGGGATTTAAAGTGCGCTTTCTAACTTAATGCCATTTAGAGTGTTTGATTGAAAGAGGGGTTGTTTGACCAAAATATATGGCAACCAGAAGGGGGCGTTGGGTTGCATGATGAAATTTGTATGAACTTTGAATTTGGACATTTGCCAGAAGTGGTTGGGGTGGCTGAACTACTGGGTGGTTTGGTTGATATTTGTTTTGTTTGTGTTTATGTTTGTTTTGTTTTTTTCCAGGTTATGAGGTTACGAGATTTTTTTGTATATTGGTGCAAGTTGGTTATGTGGGATTTAAGTTTAAACTATTACCTATATTTATATAGTCCTTCAACATGACCTTCCGGGGGTCACACTGACCCTGTCAAAGGTTATTGCCCCTGGTCTTATCAAGACATTACGCAACTCTGAAAATCGCCGACGGGTCCTGTACGTAACTGCCGACAAAGGTAACTTAGCATTTAGGCTCAGGTAAGTAATTCTCACTTGGCCATTGGTCAGTGGAGACCGGTAGTTCAGTAGGTTGGCAGACTGAGGACTGACATAGTCGCTGAGTTGGGTACTAGTTGAACCTCTAGCCACACTCCGTCATACAGGTATGGTATACGGTTTTCATAGTGAAATATTTGACCGGTAGGTACAAAGAAATATGCATTGTAAAGGATTTTTATTCACCTTCAAGTTTGGTTTGGATAGGGAGGTGATAAGTGGAACTAACGTTTATTTCTTTTCAAAGAGACGTTTCTGTAGAGATGCTTGTCTCTTTGACGACGAAATCGGCTTGCTTGAGCTGGATACAAGTGAAATCTTTGAAGGGCATTTAGAAGTGGAATGCATAAGAAAAGCAAGATTTATGGATGTCAACTTCTTTTTTTGTAATGCTTTTCTTAGATACTGGTGCATCTGAACCGAAAGCTTCGCGGATAAAAAAGATAGTTGTGTTGTCAGTTTTAACTGGACTAAAGTACGTCTGTAAGTCAATGTATTATTCACTGGTTGATCTAAGGTTATTAACTATGTCATTGATAAATAAAACACGTTTTGTTCCAGGGGCTTGTAAAAAGTTCAAGTAAAATCAGAGACCATATAATATATATAAAATCAGTAAATACCGTTATCACGTGTATATAATTTACAACAAACCTTGATATTAGTTAAGTATAAAAGGGAGGTTACATGAATATAACTGAAATTATCGTAATGACGTGGCTAACTTTAGTGGATAACCATATTTATTTTACGATAATGTAAATTGGACACGACGAACAGCGAAAGATAAGTATATGCTATCTCGAATAACACGTCAAAAAGTAGCATGTCGGGTATTTTTTATTTTTTTTGCTTTTCGTGACTGTTTCATGGATAAATGTAGATATGGACATAAGTTCTTTTCTTGTACATTGTGTACACGTCAAATTAAAATCAGCTCTGAAAGTTGAAAGAATCATAAGAGACCATATTTTCGGTTAACTGGTTTATACCTGTTCCCCTAATCGAAAACACATATAATTTTCTCATGGTACATCACGTGAAGGTATCCCAACTAATACATTTTATTCGGAATATATCTTTATATCATTGCATTTTAGATTTCATGATTTATTAGGATGAAATAATGTTTGGTGCCCTTGTGAGAATTTATCGGAGTAATATTAGAATTGGTGAAATAATCTGACGTCACAATGTTAGAAACACGTGACTTCCACCCGGTCTCTCTACGCCGTGCACGCCATTTTCGGTAGGTATGAAGGGCAAACGTGTCAAAGATTTCAAATAACTTTCTCTACAGGTGTTGCATCATCTTTGAATTTCTTCATAAGATCTAAGGATTGGCTGTCTTTGTAAAACACTTTCGTTGACTTCTTTTCAGGAAGGATGTTCAAATCTTTTCTATCGTCCGCCCAGAGCGGCACTTTCAATAACCCATTCCACGCGAAATGTGAGGGGTTGAAAGTCAACGATGACCGAACAATTGCTGCAGCCAGCACCGGTAAGATGATGTGTCAGGTTGATAACTTTAGAATTCATTGTTCATTATGTATTTCTGATGATGCCATACGCCTGTTAAATCTTGTACTGGCGTTCACAGCCTGTATGATCAGCTGATGACAGTTCAATGTCAAATTGCATCGCGAATAAAAACGATGAAACATTGTTGACATTTGATCTCAGTTTATACCGGAATGAATGACTGTAGTTGAAGGATCTGATTTTTTTAATAACGGTCATTGCAAGCGCACATTTTTCAGTTTTCAACAGCCAGGTTTGTCTTGTAGGCCGAGGCAGAAGTGATTTTTCATTTGATTGGAAGGATTGTAGCCTATGGTAACCATGACCTAACCATAACTTTTCATTTATAATGCCAGACTTATTCACCTCTCACCTGTAGGCTCAGATTGACATTTTTACCCAGACTTCTTTGTCCTTGAATGTGTATAAGACCTGTCATGGCAAGGTGAAATCATTAACAATATTTGTCAGTCTCCCCTTTCATCCTTGGCAATGGTACTTTTCCGATCATTAAACCATCTCAACCTACTTCAACCATTTGAATATTGTTGCTCAGTTTGATGTCCAAGGAATGTCACCTGTATGTTTAGCATTAGAAATTTCATTGGTCTGCATTTGTTACCTGCAATCTACCTAATGGGAAAGCTGGTGATGGTCCTCATGAATTAATGTCACCAGTTCCCCCGACTTTCTCCTAAGTCTTGGCATTAAGTTAATTTTGAACCCTGATGTTTGTTGAGGTAAGGGGGGATAGGTAACTAAGTTACTTGCTTTTGTGATTTTACTGATGCATATGTAAAAATCATAAACTACAAAACCTGAAATTGTTAGACATGGTAGGTGTTATTCCACTACCAACAAAATACAGTCAAGTCTCTTTAATCCGACTCTCGTTTATCTGACAATCGGCTTTATCCGACACTTTAGTTGGTAACAAATTGAATATACGTAATTCAGTCTCGTTAATCTGACAGTCCCGCGTGTTCCGACAGCCCGATCAATTACCCGTGAATACACTGTCACGTGTCACTGAAGATGTTATGATATGCGAGGAGCAATGAGGATTACGAACACAAATTCTGCCATCTGATGAACATCGTATAACTGCTGTCAAGTCTATTTATAGCTTGCCGTTCAGTCAATTTGTTTAGACCCATGGTTAAATTCAAGCATAGATGAAGATTCCGTAAATGTTTAATGAAAATAGGAATTGGTTGTGAAAACAATGAACACTCCTCAAGAATATTTATTAACACATGATCTAAACAAGCAATTTGATTGGCTGACAAGACTGTCAACAAAATGCCTGCTTCCCCACACATGTTCGCGTCAAGATAACATTTTGTATTTACGAAAGGTTCACTTCTCATCGAATTCACGAACAAGGTTGGAAATAGATAGATTTATTGATACTTGTTACATCTGTGCATAAATCTATAGGTGTTCTATTCGATTTCTGCATCAGTCGACACGTAGATCTGGAGTTCTACTTTCTCAGTTTTCACACAGTGTGTTCTTGACGTAAGTATTGTTTAGCTGTAAAACGTGTGATCTAAAGGCAATATTCGATTATGGTGTAAGAGGTCGATTCCCAACACTAATTACACACACACACTTAATATGAATCATGACTGTCCTGTTTTTGACCATGAACATGATCTGTACTCAGAATTCGATAATCCGACATCCTTGTTAATTCGACATTTTGCTGTGCAACGGACGATGTTGGATTAACGAGACTTTACTGTAATTTTAATATTATACACCTTAAAATGGGTCTGTACGGATGCCAGTATGGAAATGTTTCACTATGACCTTTGTTGTTAAAGGCTACCAAAAGGGTCAGACTTGGTGACATAATCTCAAAAGTAGGGTGCATGGTCATGGTTTCTATGTTCTTTTTAATACAATTTAGGCCAAATAAGAAATGTTCCGATTACACCTCTTTAAAATTTAGGGTAGATAGGTAGGATTATTTTTTTTACAATTTTTTTTAGAAGTACAAACTAATGACAAATTTATCAATGTATAATTTTTTATTCAATCAAGGTTTCAGCTATCATTTAGACTTTCTCTATCAGAATGTCCGATGTCCGTTGGTGCCGGGAAAACCCCCAATGGTATCTAAAAGCTTACTTCATTTAAACCGCTTAAACTAGATTAAGGTTGGCACCAGGTAAGGGTAATCGGAACAACAACATTTTGAAAAGCGTTTTTTGACATACCGGTATACCGTGCAGTCCTAGCAAATACTGACTAAATTGTCCGAAAATTTTCAGACGAAACCAGCTGTGAGTTTGGCTCAAGCAAGTACTATGCCCTTTGTGGGTTTGGAGGCATCTTGAGCTGTGGTATCACACATACAGCTGTTGTGCCATTGGACTTGGTGAAATGCAGAATTCAGGTGGACCCAGAGAAATATGGAAGCATCTTCAAAGGATTCCGTGTCACATTGGAAGAAGGAGGCACGAGGGCCCTTGGAAAAGGATGGGCACCAACATTTATAGGATATTCCATGCAGGGACTCTGCAAATTTGGCTTTTATGAAGTTTTCAAAATATTCTATGCCGGACTCATGGGAGAGGTAATTTTTGACATGTATTAATTGCCTTTTAAATAATATCTTCTGTAAAGTAAAACTAGCAAGCTAGGTCGATACATGTACATTTGTTCTTTCTTATAATAAACCATCCCTTATGCATATTATGAATTTAAGAAGTCCCTTCACTTCATTCATAATCATATGCACAGCTGGTAGAGTAAATGGAATATCCTTTCGAACAAATTACAGTGTATTCATGGAAAGCTTTGAAAGTGAACATCAAACTTGAAGTAGGGTACTGCTTTGCTTGAGTTTCATCCTGGGTGTGTTTTCATCTTGCAGGAAAACACCTACTTGTGGCGTACCTCCTTGTATCTGGCTGCTAGTGCATCGGCGGAATTTTTTGCCGACATTGCTCTCTGCCCCATGGAAGCAGTGAAGGTCAGGATTCAAACTCAGCCAGGATGGAGCAACACACTTAGAGAAGGTTTCCCACGTATTCTCCGGGAAGAGGGTGTGTCTGGGTAAGGACTGGGATTGAGCCCTAAGTCATTACGATGCGAGCAAATTCATTTCATAGTAAAAACAGGTACTGAAATCTGTTATTGTCCCTGAGAGATATATTTTTATTTCTGGCTTCTTTTAATAGAACTGAGTGATACAAATGTGAGTAAATATATCAAGACCATATGTATGAAAGTTCCACACAAAATGCAGCATTTCTGTGTCATTTGAAAGCCATATGTATCTTTGTATGAAACCAATCTGCACAGGTATATAATGATCTGAACTGTCTCATCATTTCGTTTCACCGATATTACGCAGTGAACTTGTTTGTATAGTCACAGGACATGAAAAAAAACCTTGCACTCACATCACATTGTGGAGAGATGCTTTTGGGTATTTGACTATTTTGGGCAATTTAGAACCAGGGATATAACTTGTAATGACACAGTGTAGGACGATCGTTTAGAATTCTCTAGGAAATGTACACAACTACAATGAAAATCAATACAACTACTATTAAAATGTACCTGGTGGTCATTCATGGGTATAACTGGTCCATATAACAGTGTGCAAAATTTACGCTGGTCCTGTGGTCCCTGGCTAGTAAAAATTCATCAGGACCACTAAATGATAAGTTTGCAGTGGTCCTGGTGGCCACTACGGATGTTATTTTGGACCAGTCACGTACAGTCAGGACCACTAATTATTGTCTACTCATTGGTCGTCTGGTCTAGTGGGAAATTTTGAAAGGTTTCTTATAAGTTTGCTGGTCACAAGGCTTAGTTGTTTCATTATTTATCATGATACCCCTGACAGTATAGGTCATTGCTGATTGCATCAGTCACAGGTTTGACTGGGTCATTTACATGTCACAGTAGCAACCAACAGTTGAAATTACAGTTTAATACTGGGTGGCTAAATGATTAAGACGTGATTTTCTATAGTTATACAGGGCTCCAGATAATTTTTCAACACCAGGGAGTACGTACTCCTTATTTGCTCAATATAGGAGTACTGGAAAACCTTAAATCTACATGTAGAGTACTGAATTAATGGAGTATCAGTACTCTTGTGTTTTGTTTCATGTATGCACCACAACATTGATTTTTGTGTAAACAGGTCAGTGAACAATAAAACAAGATTTTTTCAGATAAATACGTTTGTAAATGATTCTAAGACCGTACACCATTGCTGTGGTGCGTATTTGCTACGTTTTCTAAATTATTTCCTACCGTATCGTGCATATTTTTTTATCCGTACATACGTCGATACGGCCCTTATCTGGAACCCTGGTTATATATAACTATCCTTTTCAGCAGTCATAATGTTATGACTGTATTTCCAATAACTGATGTCCCCAGTAGTGATATTGCTGGAATATTGCTGAAAGTGGCGTAAAACCATACTCGCTCACTCCAATAACTGAATCAAGAGCAGAGTGGAGATTGTACATGTCCAATACAAGCGAAAGCTCCATCAGATGCATGAGTTGATTAGGTGTCCTTTCCAACAATTTCCTTATGTATTTGGAGTTTAGCATGAATGTTGTCAAGACCAGGCGGTGGGGTAGCCTTGTAGTTAAGGCTTGTAGTTAAGGCCTTTGCTTGTCATGTAGAAGACCCGTGTTCATTTCCCATCTGGAGAGTGTCCATGCAGATTATATCTGGTGTCCCCTGTCGTGGTATTGGTGGAACATTGCTAATAGCGGCGTTAAAGCAATATTCACTCCAGTGTCAACCCAAATAATAACAGATTGCAGGCATTCAGTACAGTTAGAGCACACATCACAAACTGCAGACGCTCCTTGTATTAAACTTATACCTGTTCTTTTTACATGCAGTTGATGCATGCAAATGGTTTTGTTCTGACGATTCATGTTCACTCTTTTTTTCAGGCTCTACAAAGGTCTTGTGCCACTATGGGCCCGACAGATCCCGTACACCATGATGAAGTTTGCCTGCTTCGAGCGTACAGTAGAAGCTCTGTACAAATATGTCGTTCCTAAGCCAAGAGCTGAATGTTCCAAGTCTGAACAGCTTGTTGTGACATTTTCTGCTGGTTATATTGGTAAGCAACTTTGAATTTTAAGTACAGTTAACTATGTTTATGATGAAGAATCTTTTTACGAACTCAGATAGGTTTCTTTCTTGTCCAGTCCTCTTGCTGTATTGCCATGTGACATGTTTTTTAATTAACTAAACTTGGTAGCCCTTTGGAGTGAGTTATAACCAGAGTTTACTGTACCACTTTTCCAAATTGGAAATTGAATACCTCGATTATGAGGGGATAGTCTGTCATACAGACGCTGAAGCTATGAGCTTTTTTTCTGTAATATATGTTCATTTTAGAGACTATTTGTTAGTCTAATGTGGGGATAGTGAAGTCAGATAGATGTTGATGTTATTTTCCCCTGCTGTAGTTTTACTTCATGTTTTCAGCTGGTGTCTTCTGTGCCATCGTTTCCCACCCTGCTGACACAATTGTGTCCAAGCTCAATCAGGATGCAGGGAGCAACTTTGTTGATGCTGCAAAGAAACTTGGATTGGGAGGTATGGGGTTTGTTTATTAGCCTAAGTTGTTCCTTTGTGTAGTGATTCAGGGGCAGAATAGGTTTACAGTACCTTGCTTGTAAGAACTGACGATTGGGTGGATGTGGTGTGACCTGTTTGAGTTGTGCACGCCATTTGAAGATTATTACTCCTCATGCTGTCAACCACATCCTTGATCAAGATGGAATACCCTTGACTTGCTCTCACAACTTAATGTAATATTCACAATGTGCCATTGCAGGGTAAGGTCATACATTGGCTATATAGACGATATTGATCATTAGATACAGCTTCATTAATATTTGAAAATGTTAAAATGATTTTTAATATTCAATGTACGTGCTGAAGTGACACACTTATTAGATCATTCAGGGTTCAGTGTGCTACATGCTTGTGTTGTCAGGCAAGATAAAAGGAAGTGGTTTAGTTTTGGTTGATGTGCCCAATGTTTATCAGGTATTTGTGTAACGATCTGTTTTATTCACTCGTCAGTGATGTTTTGCCAGTAGGTCATACATCTATGATTGACTTGTCAATACAGGTTAATTAACTTTAAAAATTTGAAACAAAATAAGAAAAGAATTCTGAGACTAAGCTGAATTTGCACGCTCCTTAGATCCACTCTCGGGGCAGTGTGCTACATGCTCGTGTGTAGTGTCTGACCCAGCAACCTTGTGTTGTACAGTCGAGAGTGCTTGAGTCATTGGTGTGCTAGATCAGTATACCTGACATGGCAGACTTTGGATCTGGACTAGGCAGACTCTCATGTCTGTTTGTGCCATGATTTGGCTGTCACTTCGGACAATCAATTATTCAGTGTTAATGCATCGGTATATAAAACTTCTGAAAAATTCTTTGAGTTGCGTTTAGAAGTTTTTGTGATGAAAAATGGGGATGTACAGCATCTTCCTTGGTAACAGTGTCAGCAGCGCTGAAACATCGCTTACATTAGTAATAAGTTGTATATCCATAGAATTTTCCCCCTTGTTCATCTGGACAATAACTTGCATATGTAGTTTGAACTCTCAAGATAAAACAAATTTCTCAATGCTGATACATTATGTATTAAGGCAACCCCTTCCTCTCAAGAAGTAACCCGTGAAGATCCGGGTTAGAATTGATCTTCAGTTACCCATGCTTGTCGTAAGAGGCGACTATTGGGATTGTGTTGATGCATGTCATCGTATCCCAATTGCGAAGATTGATGCTCATGATTTTGATCACTGGATTGTCTGGACCAAACTCGACTATTTACAGACCACAGAATATTGCTGAGTGCGTCGTAAAAGTAAACTCACTCACTCTTAAGAAGTTTGTAACCACCAAATCAGTGATGGTGGTGTAGTTGATATAAACTGGTAATTGCAAGTTTTATAAATCGGGCAACAGTTAACAGTAAGCAGGCAAACATTGTCGAGCAGCGTAATTTTAACTGATATGCCATAATGTTTATCAGATATTTTCCCAATATGTCAACTCTTATCAATGCTGTTTTGTCAGGTATGTGGAAGGGCCTGTTCCCCAGAATCATCATGATCGGCACACTGACAGCCCTGCAGTGGTTCATCTACGACTCTGTCAAGGTGTACTTCCGTTTGCCACGTCCACCACCACCAGAGATGCCCGAGTCACTGAAGCGTAAGCTGGGAATTACCCAGTGATGATGGCTGCACTTTAGAATGAGAATTTGGACATTTAGAAGATCTGTTTACTGAACACACAATAGATACATATGGATAATGCAGTTGTTTTCTGTTTCCAGGCTGGAAAATGTTTATTCCATGTCTTGAACTTCAAAATATTGTGTTGTTAATCTACTTCATGGCTGTAATTGTATTAGGTCATGATTTTGGTCATCTTGAAAATGTGTGCCATTTGAAGGGGAACATGATGTTTAGCCATATTGACACAATGTATAATACAGTGTGAATATTTATGAGGAATCATCTAGCATTACGATGCAAGAGTGAATAAAAAATATTAAACCTTGGATATTTTTTTGTTCTCTGTGAAATCTCATGGTTCAGTTTGCATTAAGAGAGACACATGTGCTAACTTTGTGGAATAATACCAAGTTGTATAATTCTGCAGTTATAGAGAGTAATGCTATCTGATACTGTTATGGGTTTGGGCTACAGAAAAGCCTGTTATGTGTGCAACTCCACTAGAAACCTTTCATTTGTTGTTTAACGCCGCACTTGGCAATATTCCAGCTATATGGCGGTGGTCTGTAAGTAATCAAGTCTGGACCAGACAATCCAGTGATCAACACCATGAACATTGATCTACGCAATTGGGATACGATGACATGTGTCAACCAAGTCAGCGAGCCTGACCATCCGATCCTGTTGGTAGCCTCTTGTGACAAGCATGGGTTGCTGAAGGCCAATTCTAACCTTGATCTTCAGAAGTTGACTAACAAACGTGATGCTCATAGGCACAATGTGTGAAGACAAAAGGGTGAAATTGCCTGAACAGTTTCAGTATGTACAGTAGGCTGCTTGACTTTAGCAGAGTGTCATTAACACAGCTCAGACACACAGCTATTTACTTCTCACTTCAACAGCATACAGTATCTGACAATAGTTAAAAAACGTCTCATATACACCACAAAGTACTTCAGGATATTCAGCTGGGAAGCCAAATATTCCACTGCACACATTCATAAACTGAGAAGCTGCATTCCACCAAATGCCTCTGTTTTTAGTCTCAATATTTAACACAACAACAAAGGAAGCTAAGACATCAATGTCCTAAGTTTCATGGCCTGCTAGTATGTGTGAAGTGCTGTGATTTGAATTTTATTGTTGTTAGAGTAATGTTTGGAATTGGTAAAAATCTCACAATTGATGATAGGTTCATAACAACTGATCAATCATCGAAAATAATTGGTAAGCGTAATTTATAAACTTCTCCTGGTCATGTTTGTTAATGCACAAAAAATACATAAAAAACAATGTAGTTCTTTCGGTTTTTCTGCAAATTGCACAAAATGCATTACAAATTTCACATCTTAAAAGATGGCTACTATGTTAGGAACATAAATTTCCTGGAGTTTTTAAGATATATTCAATCATGACATGGGACGAGCTTGTGAAGCTTATGAAATGTAACAGACTAAACCAACCTTGTGAAAAATGTTAATGCAAACAAGTAGGCCGCCTCTGTGGTGTAGTGGTTAGAGCGTCCGCCCGGAGAGCGGAAGGTCGCGGGTTTGATCCCCGACCGCGTCATACCAAAAGACGTTAAAATATGGCACTTGTTGGTCCCTGCCTGGCGCTCGGCATTAATGGGTACAAGAAGGACTGGTCGACTCGGAGTCAGTATAATGTGTCTGAGTGGGGTATTCATGCTTCACTCCGGCATGGTATCTCAGTGGTCTAGCACTATAAAACCAGCTTCAGTCTGGGCTGACACCAGAAATGGGCTTCACACATTGTACCCATGTGGGGAATCGAACCCGGGACTTCAGCGTGATGAGCGGACACTTTTACCACTAGGCTACCCCACCGCCCTGGCCTGGACTTGATTCTCTGCAGGCTCAACGATGTAATTTGAATATGCAACTCCTTATAAAACAACGATTACCTCTTTTATCATGGAACTTGTGTGCAGAAATGTCCCCTGTAAAATCTTTCAAATTATCAACTCATGAAGAACTTGGTTAGAATTGGTCTTCAGCAACCCATGCTAGTTGTAAGAGCTGACTAAAGGGATCGGGTGGTCAGGCTCGCCAACTTGGTTGACAAATGTCATTGTATCCCAATTGTGTATATTAGATAGTTGCTCATGATGTTAATCACTGGATTGTCTGGTCCAGACTCAATTATTTACAGACTGCCGCCATATGGCTGGAATATTGCTGAGTGCAGCGCTGAACAACAAACAAACAAACTTTCAAATCATCAAGACAACCAATATAATATCAGAAATAGAAGTTTATTGACTTGTGATATAAAAATTACAAAATGGTGTAAGTCTGCTTTGGATATTCTACTTTTGATCACTACATGTCATTGGTTTGATGCAGTTGAGCAGTTGTCTCCCCTGGTAGGGAGGTGACTGGTCGACCTGAATAGCGAGGGAATTATGCATGTAATAACTGAGACAACTTGTAAATGAACAAGCCAATGTTCATGACTGACATAGAAATACCACATGAAACTAAATCCCGATGACAAGATCCTCGATACCAAAATTAACTTTTTCAAAATGGCCAAATCAGGATTAGAATTGGACACTGCTCATTATTTGGTAAGTGTTCTCGCACTTTTGGCAACTTTTAGGCACTAAACTGCTATGGGGGTATAACTACTACTTGTATCCTGTTGACTGAAAAAGATATTACCAGGAACTCAACCGTTCCAAGATTTTGTATAAGTTGTAATTTTACTTTGCATAATATCCTTGAATATCAAACAGAAACTTCAGATCTTACATACAAAATACAATAACCAATGCCCTAAAATGCATATATGAATCACTAGCAGATTGCTCGGAGCCTGATAAGGGAAAGTAGCAGACTTCAGCATGATTATTGTTTTCTACCTTTATATACGTGAAATGCCTACTGGTCTAGTGCATTCTACATGGCATAAATATACACGCTGTACAGAGTATTGGTTCACGCAGCACCTTGAAGTTTTGTTGCCAGCTGGATTACCTCCCTTGCCTAGACAAACCCGATTATCTCCCTTGTCTGGGCAGATATCACCATCTCTTAATTATTAGGAATACCAAATTTGTATTTACTGTGTTTTTCAATGTAGAAGATCACTAATATTACAACATTTTAACCAACCATCAAGTCAAACTTGTAGTGAATCTTGTACAACAAATAGTTTTGTCACCTGTCTAGATCTGAAAATGAAAGTGATTAAGTTTTTGGCAAAAATGAGAATATACCGACATTTAGTACCATTCGAAAATTGACTGGTGAAAACACTATCTCAGACACTTGCACCTGTCTGTTAAGCAGAATCCTTATACAGGTAAACTTGAGGTAAAGCAAGGTTGATAGCCCAGCTAGGAAGGAGGGAAGTAATTACTATTTCTTCTTAACGACTGAATGATATTGCTAATGAATATCAACAGATCATTGTCAAAGCTGAGCAAAGTGATTGAATCATGATTATTTTTTTTACTTTTTCGTATGAAATACATGATCATATCAAAATATATCTACCATTAACACTGAAAAGATTATCTAAAATATCAGATCATTCTTAAAAAACAAGTTTACATCAACTGGCAAAAATTCATGGTCAAGTGATTAACTTTGAAAAAATCATGAACAAAAATTGCCATTATCAAAACTGATTAAAAACAGACATGTCTACAGGACTGGGTAGGTATATACAATACAAAAATACAATTTCACATACAAAGATATAAAATGGAGTAAAATCACATGATGTCAAACATTTAAATAAAGTACAGAGACCAGCGGACGACTGCATGCAGGAAATCTAGTCTATACTAGGAGTGGAAGGGAGGTAACTCTTTCTTCCATCACAGGAATCAAGATCGTCCCATGGTGACTAAATCAGTGCTGTTGACAAACAAGGACGATGGTTGTCCAGGGTTTAAACACTGGAAGCCGGATAAAGATAATCACATCCTTGTACCGTTCCTTAGGGATGCATCTACTTCGACAGACGACACCCTGTTAGTCAGCTATTGGGTAACAAGCATGGCTTACGAGAAACTGGGCGACACAGATTGGTAAATGATACAATTAACAGTTACGATAATATTTTGATTTCTCTTGTATTTTGTCCAGGTACTCCTGCATCCGTCTGTTAAGCTCGTCAATCATGTCTGACAGCTCATTCAGGGTCTTGTTATTTTCCTCAAAATCTTTCTGCATTCCTGAAAACAAAAACAATACCTGTTCATGTTGAGCTAATAACAGTGAGTGAGTGAGTTTTCTTTTATGCCGCTTTCAGCAATATTCCAGCAATATCACGGCAGGGGACACCAGAAGGCTTCACACATTGTACCAATGTTTGGAATCGAACCCGGGTCTTCGGCGGGCCGAGCGAACGCTTTAACAACTAGGCTACCCCACTGCATCCTTGCATTAAATAACCATCATGTTTCGTTATTCACCCTTGTAGAGAAGTCGAATCTAATGAACAGGGACCATATTGTTCTGAAAGTGGCTCGGCAGATGTACAGTAAAGCTAGTTCTATCATTGTCTAAATTACGAGGTCTGACTGCAGTGTTCGAAATTCCGCAGATCCTGTCCTTCAGATATTGGGGCATTTGACCAAACAAATTAGTTGTCACATCAGGTAAATGACAAGGACTACTTTCAAGCTCTGTTTAAAAAAACCCACCCTGTTATGATTTATCAGATTTGTACCACAAAACATGCTTTATGAGTGAGTATAGTTATACCCCACTTTCAGCTATTTTTGTTATTCCAGCAATATCATTGCAAGAGACACCAGAATTGGGCTTCACACATTGTACCCAAGTTGGGAATTGAACCTGGATCTTCGGCGTAACGAGCGAACGTTTTAACCACTAGGCTACCCCACCACTCCTCGTGCTTTATGTGAGACAAGGTTGTTTGACTTACGCTGCAAGTTCTGATATTTCTCCTGGGTGCCAGCAGCCAGTTCATCTGCCCTCTTCTTCAGCCGCGTTGCACGCTCGTGTGCATCAGACGTCATGTTGTACTTGTTGTTTAAACGACCAGCTGCGCTTTGATATTTGTTGTCAAGGTCATTTGCATCCTGAAACAAGGTCAATATATTTATTTACAGGATCATAGAGGAAGTCTCATGATAAAATATATATATCTGGAGGTCACATAATTGGTCAATAATTGATCAGTGGTTACTGACGCTATATGGTGGCACCTCGTACAACAATGCTGTGTACCCATGGTTACTGAGTGTATACTGTGTAACCTGATGCAAAGCTTTTTTTTGCCATGGTTACTTAGCTTTCTTGTCATGGTTACTGAGTGTATACTGTGTAATCTGATGCAACAATGCTGTGTAACCATGGTAACTTAGCGTATACTTTAGATAATCATAAAACAACCCTGTGTTACCATAGTTACTGAGCACATACAGTGGTACCTGATGCAACAATGCTGTGTAGCCATGAATACAAAGACTCTTATTTGTTCCAGCACATGTCTGAATACATACCCTCTCTGCCTGGTTGGCAAGATCTGTGGCATCTCTGGAGGCCTTCTCTGCTTCTTCTACTTCAAATTTGTTCTGGTTGTACTTCTTGCGGAGATCACTCAGACGTGCCTTGAGCCTGTCCAAGATAGTCATACTCCTGTTGGACGTATCTGCTGCTGAGGTAGTTTCCGACTCGATCTAGAAAACACAACATTACTTCTTACATCCTTCCTTAATTTTGTGATAAGGTAGAAACTAGGATGATCAACATCCGTGTTGGTCCTCAAAAAACCAGTGACAGGCTTATGCCTCAAGTGAATGAGTGAGTTTAGTTTTACGACGCTTTTAGCAATATTCCAGCATTCTACCATGACTTCATTAAATACTGGATTGTGATTGGTTAATCGGAAGTCATTCAGAGGTAAATAATCACGTTATAATATACCTCTGATTTTCCAACACAGTATGTATTTCTTTATTCTTAATAACATGGATATGGTAGAATGGAGATAAACATACTGTGTTGGAAAATCAGAGGTATATAACGAAAATATAATAGCTCTAAATTTTCTATTTAAAACCTCACGCTATGCTTTAGTCAGTAAATGAATTTGGATTTGGTTTTATGCAGCTTTTAGCAGTATTCATGGGAGGGGACACCAGAATGGGCTTCACACATTGTACCCATGTGGGGAATCAAACCCAAGTCTTCGTCGGGACGAGTGAATGAGTTAACCTCTAGGCTGCCCCACTATTTATTGTTTGTTAGTAAACTTAGCGATGTCTACTAACAACAATTATCCCGGGTGTCAACCAATTATGTTTCGCCTTATTTAAGCACTCAAAACTGCTCGAGTCGAGAGTCAAAACTATGTTCTGGCTGTGTGGATGTAATTTAAATAGGTCTTCAAATATCGAATCAAAATAGTGATAATGGTTATCAAAACTCGAAACTAAAGTGTCAGATTTGATTTTCGCTGAATTGAACCGAATCGTTGCAGCCCTAGTGAGCAGTGATTCATGCTGGTACAATGATACATCATCAATCCAGTCACCAAATCTGACAACCTGACTGCTTTGGTTGACTCTGATGACCAGACCAATTCCAATCCTGTATCCCTACATGACAGGAACCAAACTGTGAAACCTCATATGCTAGGAATCATTAGCCTGTCCAACCAAGCCCAAGTTTAGCTTGGAACCAATTAGTTTGTTTGTTGTTGCCACCCCGGAAATATTCTAGCTATATGAAGGCAGTATGTATATCATAAAGTCTGCACCAGACTACACAGATATTGAAATCATGAGGATTAATCTCGGGATATGATGATATGCAACCAAGTCATGTGATAATGTAGGGAATATCCGTCATATCTTCACATCCACAATGCTTTTAGTCAGATCTCCCTGTGCAATAATGTGGCATCAGTTCCTATGTATATATGACATGTGTATGTGATAATGTAGGGAATATCCGTCATATCTTCACATCCACAATGCTTTTAGTCAGATCTCCCTGTGCAATAATGTGGCATCAGTTCCTATGTATATATGACATGTGTATGTGATAATGTAGGGAATATCTGTCATATCTTCACATCCACAATGCTTTTAGTCAGATCTCCCTGTGCAATAATGTGGCATCAGTTCCTATGTATATATGACATGTGTATGTGATAATGTAGGGGATATCTGTAAAATCCTAATTTCCACAAAGCTTCCTACCATGGCCAGATCTGCCTCCGCGTCACGGATGTTGGCCTCAGCAGTGATGATAGCCGTCTCAGCTTCCTCCTGGGCCTTCTTAGCTCCATCCAGGGCACTGAGAACACCCTCTGCTGTTTTCTGGATAGCAGATGCATCCTCTCTGTAACATGAAAAAACTCCTGCTATAATGAAGGGCTAGGTTACCTGTATACTTACTCTCACTAAATTGAATTTGGAACCAAACATGCAGCCGTCAAACATACTTTCAGAAGTGCATATTGTCCACATGAGAGCTGGATATTGTCACGTGAGAGTCGGATATTGTCACATGAAAGATGGATATTGTCACATGAGAGTTGGATATTGTCACATGAGAGTTGGATATTGTCCCATGATTGGTGGATATTGTCACATGAGAGTCAGATATTGTCACAAGGGAGTTGGATATTGTCACGTGAGAGTCGGATATTGTCAATTGAAAGCTGGATATTGTCACGTGAGAGTCAGATATTGTCACAAGGGAGTTGGATATTGTCACATGAGAGTCTGATATTGTAACAAGAGAGTCGGATATTGTCACAGAAGAGTCGGATATTGTCACGAGAGAGTCGCATATTGTCACGTGAGAACTGGATATTGTCACATGAGAACTGGATATTGTCAGATGGGATCTGGATATTGTCACATGAGAGTTGAATATTGTCACATGGGAGTCAGATATTGTCACATGGGAGTCAGATATTGTCACATGGGAGTCAGATATTGTCACATGAGAGTGGATACATTTCTGTGAGAGTCAGATATTTTCACATGAAAGCTGGATATTGTCATGTGAGAGTTGGATGTTGTTACATGGGAGTCAGATATTGTTACTATCAGCTGGATATTGTCACGTGGGAGTAAGATATTGTCACATGGGAGTAAGATTGTCACATAGGAGTCAGATATTGTCACATGGGAGTCGGATATATTTTCACATGGGAGTCAAATATTGTCACATGGGAGTCAGATATTGTCACATGGGAGATGGATATTGTTATGTGAGAGTCAGATATTGTCAAATGGGAGAATAAACTGTCACATGAGAGTCAGATTTTGTCACATGGGAGTCGGATATTGTTACATGGGAGTCGGATATTGTCACATGGGAGTCAGATATTGTCACTTGAGAGTCAGATATTGTCACATGAGAGTCAGATATTGTAACATGGGAGTCAGACATTGACACATGGGAGTCGGATATATTTTCACATAGGAGTTGGATATTGTCAGATGGGAGTCAGATATTGTTACATGGGAGTCGGATATTGTCACGTGAGAGTCGGATTTTGTCACATGGGAGTCGGATATTGTTACATGGGAGTCAGATATTGTTACATGGGAGTCAGATATTGTCACATGGGAGTCAGATATATTGTCACATGAGAGTCCGATATTGTTACATGGGAGTAATATATTGTCGCATGGAGGTCGGATATTGTCACGTGAGAGTCAGATATTGTCACATGGGAGTCAGATATTGTTACATGGGAGTCAGATATTGTCACATGGGAGTCAGATATTGTCACATGGGAGTCAGATATTGTCACATTGGAGTCAGATATTGTCACATGGGAGTCAGAGATTGTAACACAGAAGTCAGATATTGTTACTATGAGCTGGATATTGTCACATGGGAGTTGCGTATTGATAAGTAAGTAGAAATTACTGTACATTTATCATCTACAAGCATTACGACAACTCACGATGCATCATCTGCTCTCTGCTTGAGTCTCTTGGCCTTTGCCAAGTCATCCCTAGTTTCATCCAGGATGGAGTCAATGTTTTGCAGACCTTGGATGGTTCTGTTGATCTTGTCAGCCAGATCCTCAATCTGAGCGGGAGTCAGGGAGATGCTCATTGCCAGCACCTCTTGTGCGACCTAAACATAAGGGGAGAGAGAGAGAGAGAGAGTGAGCAGTGTGCTATATGGCAGCAGTCAAGTCTGGACCAGGAAATCCAGTGATTTACAGTATCCACGCAAATTGGATGTGATGACATGTGTCAACCAAGTCAGCGAGCCTGACCACCCGATCCCATTAGTCGCCTTTTACGACAAGCATGGGTTGCTGAAGACCAGTGTTAATGTGGATCTTCACGGGTAAAATTTATCTGAAGTGCAGAAGCTGCCTCATAAACATCTCATAATCTACACAGACATGAATGATATCTTTAACATCAAACCCAGAGTTACCAAGCTGAACACATATACTGAAGAGTGAAATCTCGTTAGGGTCTGTATGAGTGAGTGAGTATGGCTTTATGCCGTTTTTAGCAATATTCCAGCAATATCACGGCAGGGGACACCAGAAATGGGCTTCACACATTGTACCCACGAGGGGAATCGAAACTGTGTCTTCAGCGTGACAACCAAATGCTTTAACCACTCGTCCAAGGTCTCTAAGAGTCTTCAGACACCAATATATCCTCCTGTGAAGATACCAGTGGGCAGGTGAGCCTGCCCCCACACACAATGGCTTGCATTATAAGCTTTAGTAATGATTTTTAATTTTCAGTTTCCAAAGTTGAAAACATGAAAAGAACCATTTTTCTTAGTTAAAGTTAAAGTATAAAGGCTGACTGATATGCGTGTATTAGTAAAATATCCACAGAATTATCTCCCATGTTAATCATGCCTCTAAATGAAACTTAAAGAAGTTGTACGCTTCCTACTCCACCCATGTTGGAAAATCGTTAAATCTCCAAATCATCATCATCATCATCATACCTTCTCAATGCTCTCTGGCTTGGCAGACTCCTCACTGAAGAACTGTCTGACTCTGTTGAGGAGGTCTTCAAGGTCTTCCCTGGCAGATTCTGATTGGTTCTTGGCTAGCAGGGCTTGGTCGTACGCCATCTTGGCATCTGCTTTAGCTTGCTCCGCGTCCTGCTTGGCTGATTGGAGCTGGGAATGAAATGGAAATTTGTGTAACCATTTGTTTATCATAGGGGTGGACACAGTAGTTAGTTTTTCATGCACTGATCAAACATGTAATTTTGCTGAATATCTGTAATTTGTGATGCTCACATTACAAATATATTTACTCCTTATTGTCATAAAACCTCTTTTCTTGTCTTCTGTAAATCTTGTTTGTATTCTGAATTTTAGTAGAATTTGTTGTGTTTGGCTTGATACATTCCGATAGCAATGCTTTACCCCTCCCATCAACTGTGCATTTTCGTATATTACTCTTTTTTCCACAAATCTTCTCTGAATGCATGGCTCTTGTGATGCTTTCTTGCATGATACTGCCAAGGCACATTTACATATTTCATGTTTTCTCCTCTTTAGGTCAGCTCTTTCAAAACACTTCAGCATGTACCCAATAAACTTTGCAGTAGGAAATGGTTGAGCCCAACTTAAAGCTTGATTCATATTTTAAAAGAATGTAATGCAACAATATGAACCATTCTCAGATGAGTTTACTTGACAGAAAGCAGCTTAGTTCGGACTTGAGTCAGAAGATGGGTACTGATGTTATTAGACGAGATTATATAGACGAGATTAAAGGGTGAGTGAGTTAAATTTTACGCAAGATTCAGCAATATTCCAGCTATATGATGGCAAGCTGTAAATAATCGAGTCTGGACAAGACAATCCAGTGATCAACAGCATGAGCATCGACCTACACAATTGGGATATGATGACATGTGTCAACCAAGTCAGCAAGCCTGACCACGTGATCCCGTTACGACAAGCATGGGTTAATGAAGATCAATTCTAACCCGGATCTTCATGGGATATGAGATTAAAGAACTGGGTGGGTGGGTGTGCTCGCGTGAGTGAAGATTTTTAGCAAAACAACTAGAATATCACAGATAGAATTAAAACTACCTAGCATATAACATTAAAATTAGAACACTATTAAGGACAATACAAGATATAAATGGGCTAGAGGTCACCAGCAACTGACGGTAGATCACTGACTAGAGACCATGGGGACTTACAGTACCTTCGCTACCTGCATGGACCCTAGCTGGACTTACACTATCCCTTCAGCTGTTGGCGACTGTACGGAGGTCTAACCATTATTTAAAATCATAAATATACGATTAAAACATTAGTAGTATTAAATTTACTTATGAGTGTGTTTAGTTTTACGCCGCATTTAGCAATATTCCAGCAATATCAAGGCGGGTACACCAGAAATGGGCTTCACACATTTTACCCATGTGGGGAATCGAACCTGGGTATTCGGCATGACGAGCTAACGCTTTAACCACTAGGCTACCCTAGTATTTGTCATGTCAATGAAATGTCTCTCACTACCTCTAATACTCACATTTGTCAGTGTGGTATCGGCTTCCGTTTGCTTCGAGTCCAAGATGTCTGCAGCCTGTTGGGCATACCTCAGAGCTTTGTCGGCCTTGGTGACGGCACCAGCTCCACAGCTTGCTCCTCCACAACGTCCACAACCGCCACCACCACACAGAGTATCGCATGGATCTGCTGGACTTCCACACACCTAAATGGTCATGGTTAGAGTGAGTGAGTTTAGTTTTACGCCACTTTTAGCAATATTCCAGTAATATCAAAGTGGGAGACACCAGAAATGGGCTTCACACATTGTACCCATGTTGGGAATCAAACCTGGGTCTTTGGCGTGACGAGCTTTAACCACTTGGCTACCTCACCGCCGGACAGTTAGTCAGAACCTAATGATATACTGATCCTGTTTATTAGCTATATAGAGATCATTACACGAGTAAGTGTGTCATACGACTTATACGAAACGGGTGTGAAAATCTAATGTTTTTAAAACAATCTATCCGATCAATACATAATAATTGTAATCTGATTCTTTCAAACTAATCTTAATCCGATCTATTCATAACAATTTTAATGGGATTCTTTCAAAACATTTTTATCTGATCAGTTTGTAACAATCTTAATAATGAAAACTCAACAGACATTGATCACAGAGGAGAGAACTTACAGACTCCAACCAGTGTCTACCAACCTGCTCATTCAGATTAGAAAGCCTGCCTCCCAGTGATGACACCTTGCCATCCAGTTCATCAAGAGAAGCCTTGTTTTCTTTGAGGCGGTTGTTGAAATCATCTCTTCTCTGGTCTATGAGGGCATCCACCTGTTGCCGGGTCCTCTCTGAATCCTGAACAGTCCTCTGTGTATCATCAACCTTCCGCTGGGCTTCACGAGATCGACGTTCAGCCTCCCGAGTGATGTTGAAGGCACCTATAGTGGAAACATTCACTTAATTGTAACAAGTGGGGTAAATCCTTTAAGAAGTAACGGCCACACCTGATCTTCCACACCTCAGTCCCAGATGTCACTTGGAAACCAACAAGGAGACCTCACTACCCATGGTGGCGACCAACAAGAGGACCAACTCACACTACACATCAGTATATCAACAAGGGGGATAACTCACCCTACACATCAGTATATCAACAAGGGGGATAACTCACCCTACACATCAGTATATCAACAAGGGGGATAACTCACCCTACACATCAGTATATCAACAAGGGGGATAACTCACCCTACACATCAATATATTAACAAGGGGACCAACTCACCCTACACATCAGTATATCAACAAGGGGGATAACTCACCCAACACATCAGTATATCAACAAGGGGGATAACTCACCCTACACATCAGTATATCAACAAGGGGGATAACTCACCCTACACATCAGTATATCAACAAGGGGGATAACTCACCCTACACATCAATATATCAACAAGGGGACCAACTCACCCTACACATCAGTATATCAACAAAGGGGATAACTCACCCAACACATCAGTATATCAAGGGGGATAAGTCACCCTACACATCAGCACATAAACAAGGGGGATAACTCACCCTACACATCAGTATATCAACAAGGGGATAACTCACCCTACACATCAGTATATCAACAAGGGGATAACTCACCCAACACATCAGTATATCAACAAGGGGACCAACTCTCACCCTACACATCAGTATATCAACAAGGGGATAACTCACCCTACACATCAGTATATCAACAAGGGGATAACTCACCCTACACATCAGTATATCAACATCAAGGGGATAACTCACCCTACATCAGTATATCATCAGTCAACAAGGGGATAACTCAACATCAGGGGGATAACTCACCCTACACATCAGTATATCAACAAGGGACCAACTCACCCAACACATCAGTATATCAACAAGGGGATAACTCACCCTACACATCAGTATATCAACAAGGGGATAACTCACCCTACATCAGTATATCAACAAGGGATAACTCACCCTACACATCAGTATATCAACAAGGGGATAACTCACCCAACACATCAGTATATCAACAAGGGGATAACTCACCCTACACATCAGTATATCAACAAGGGGATAACTCACATATCAGTATATCAACAAGGGGATAACTCACCCTACACATCAGTATATCAACAAGGGGGGATAACTCACCCTACACATCAGTATATCAACAAGGGGATAACTCAACACATCAGTATATCAACAAGGGGATAACTCACCCTACACATCAGTATATCAACAAGGGGATAAGTCACCCCACACATCAGCATTTCATCAAGGGGATAACTCACCCTACACATCAGTATATATCAACAAGGGGCCGGGATAACTCAACAAGGGGGATAACTCACCCTACACATCAGTATATCAACAAGGGGATAACTCACCCTACACATCAGTATATCAACAAGGGGATAACTCACCCAACACATCAGTATATCAACAAGGGGATAACTCAACCAACAAGGGGATAACTCACTACATCAGTATATCAACAAGGGGGATATATCAACAAGGGGGGGATAACTCACCCTACACATCAGTATATCAACAAGGGGATAACTCACCCTACACACATCAGTATATCAACAAGGGGATAACTCACCCTACACATCAATATATCAACAAGGGGGATAACTCACCCTACACATCAGTATCAGTATATCAACAAGGGGGATATACCAACATCAGTATATCAACAAGGGGATAACTCACCCAACTCACCCCTACACATCATCAAGGCCGGGATAACTCACCCCTACACATCAACAAGGGGATATCATCAACAAGGGGATAACTCACCCTACACATCATCATTTCATCAAGGGGGATAACTCACCCTACACATCAGTATATCAACAAGGGGCCGGGGATAACTCACCCTACACATCAACAAGGGGGATAACTCACCCAACACATCAGTATATCAACAAGGGGGATAACTCACCCTACACATCAGTATATCAACAAGGGGGATAACTCACCCTACACATCAGTATATCAACAAGGGGGATAACTCACCCTACACATCAGTATATCAACAAGGGGGATAACTCACCCAACACATCAGTATATCAACAAGGGGGATAACTCACCCTACACATCAATATATCAACAAGGGGACCAACTCACCCTACACATCAGTATATCAACAAAGGGGATAACTCACCCAACACATCAGTATATCAAGGGGGATAAGTCACCCTACACATCAGCACATAAACAAGGGGGATAACTCACCCTACACATCAGTATATCAACAAGGGGGATAACTCACCCTACACATCAGTATATCAACAAGGGGGATAACTCACCCAACACATCAGTATACCAACAAGGGGACCAACTCACCCTACACATCAGTATATCAACAAGGGGGATAACTCACCCTACACATCAGTATATCAACAAGGGGGATAACTCACCCTACACATCAGTATATCAACAAGGGGGATAACTCACCCTACACATCAGTATATCAACAAGGGGGATAACTCACCCTACACATCAGTATATCAACAAGGGGGATAACTCACCCAACACATCAGTATATCAACAAGGGGGATAACTCACCCTACACATCAGCATTTCATCAAGGGGGATAACTCACCCTACACATCAGTATATCAACAAGGGGCCGGGGATAACTCACCCTACACATCAACAAGGGGGATAACTCACCCAACACATCAGTATATCAACAAGGGGGATAACTCACCCTACACATCAGCATTTCATCAAGGGGAACAACTCACCACCAACATTGGTTCACAAACAAAATGGCATATGGACAAGGGGGACACATCTACATCAACACAATACGGGGAACACCTCACCTTCTACATCACGGGCCTGGATGTCAGTGGCGTTTGCTCTCAGCTCCTCAGCGAGATTCTTCAACTTCTTCACACGGCCCTGCAAGATGCCAATCTGGTTGTTGCCGCTCTGTACACGGGAAGTCGTGTTACTGAGCTCCTTGTCGATATTATTCAGGGATTTGTTGCTTTCAGTCAAGTTACGTCTGCAAGAAACAATAGTCACATAAACAAATCATTTGAATTTTTTTATTTCCAAATGGTGGAAACAGTGATACAGTGAGTGAGTGAGTATGGTTTTGCACTGCTTTTAGCAATATTCCAGCAATATCATGGCAGGGGTCACCAGGAATGGGCTTCACTCATTGTACCCATGTTGGAATTCGAACCCAGGTCTTCACCGTGATGAGGGGACGCTTTAACCATTAGGCCACCCTACCGCCCCAACAGTGCTACACTAGATGAGATATGTGACTCACCTGATAGTGTCCAGCATGTTCTGGATGTCCTGAACGTCCACTCTGGTGACGTTGGCGGTGGACAGGATACGACGGATCTCATCGATGTTGTTCTGCATCTGCTTGAACTCATCATCAAATGCTTTGATGGCACCTGTCACTGAGATATTGTTGCCGGTCTCCACCAGGCTGTGAGTCTGATCTGGAACAGAAACATGAGTCTTGCAGAAACCCATATCAACCACAGTTTGCAATGGAAACATGGAACATAAGTTCTTATTAGGGGTGAAACGGTATACCGTTATATACTGACTGAGTTTTGTTTTACGCCGCTTTTAGCAATATTCCAGCAACATCACAACCACTAGGCTACCCCACCACCCCGTATACCGTTATAACACAATACACAGTCGAATACACACAAGATGGGTCAAATGTGGGACCTACCATCAGGGGGACATAACTCTTAGCTACACTGCTGCACTGGGAAAACGTAATTAACACCCAGTGTCTTTGCAAGGTATTTTTATTATGCTTTAGTGTCCCGTAAAATCATAACTTGACAAGTTTTGCAACATATAGGGCCTTTCTCAGGAAAATCACTGGCAATTAGGGCCTTTTTAGGCTAAAATATCCAATATTTCAGGCTTTTCCAAGCCTGTGCAAACCTGTGTTAACAAGTTCATGTTTCAAAACTATTCAACATGATTATAATTATACTCATGTGTGCTCGAATATTGAACTAATATTGCAATATAATGCAATATAACAGCCTGGCAATAGTCATCACGTGTCCAACAAAAAATAGACCAAATTTTAACTGAAAGCAATGAATTCCAGGAAACAATGAGCAGTAGATTAGTCATGGGGAATAATCATGGTATGAGTTGCTAAAGATGAACTCACCTCTGAGATCACGGATGATTCTATCCCAGTTGTCGGAGCACTCGCCACAAGGCACGCAGTTGGGCAGATCTCCAGTTGTCCCGCTAGCGCATCGATCACACTTGTAGCCTGTGACACCCTGCTCGCACACGCACTGACCAGTGCGGCGGTCACACTGCATGGATTTAGATCCCTGGGGGTCGCAGTCACATGCTGCAAGGTAGAAAAGGGTGCTAACATTCTCTAAGGTAATGGTCAGTGTGTAGCATGTTTGCCTTTGGGAACATCATATGATTGATAGATCGACTGACTAAGTGACTGAGTGACTGACTCATAACTGCTGTCTATCTCATAATTTGAGAAAAATTATCACTATGACATAATTCTTACAAATAATCCACAGCCATGACTGTTTTCATTAGTTATCACACACTGGAAATACACAATCCATTCATTAAGAGAATGTTCTGCTGTAGATTTGGAGGAAGTAAACCCCAAATCTGTGCACAGATCTTGCTGGAAGTAGTTCCTGTGATATCACATTTGCTTGGTTGGTTTGGTGTTTAACGCCAACCACAGCAATATTCCAGCTATATGGCGGCAGTCTGTAAATAATCGAGTCTGGACCAGACAATCCAGTGATCAACAGAGCATTGATCTACACAATTTGGATATGATGACATGTGTCAACAAAGTCAGTGATCCCGTTAGTAGCCTCTTATACAACCATGGGTTGTCATAGATCCATTCTAACCCAGATCTTCACAGGTATCTCATTAGCATATTTATTACGTAGTGATACCAGGTTTATATGAATGTTTATGGCCTTGATAACTTTGTCCATTACGTGACAAATGTATATATTTACTACTTCCATGATTGCTTGTTCCTTCCCTCACTAAACATTACTCAGTATACAGTGATACTGAACAGAAATCAATGGGCATCATGGCACTCAACAAGCTGACATCTAGATTGTACTAGTGTTTTTCTTGAAATTGTTCGGATAAACGAATTTTCGGATATCTGAACCGAGGACCATATGGAAAAAGACAGACAAACAAACGTAACATAATAAGCCTCAGACGTATTCTTTTATTGATTGATTGGTCAACAAATAACAAATACTGTAAACGATTATATTTCGCAAGCAGGTTTTATTTTCGCTTTGAAGACAGAAATTCACGGAATCTTAAAATGATCTACTGATAGTAGCATAAAGAATCATACTTAACTGTCGCTGTAATGGATTTCCCAAAACATAATTAAATAATGAGCCAAATCCCCATCACGAATTCATTAGCTTAAAACAGCAATGTGTGTTGTACAAGAATGGAAATTGGTCACATGACAGATGGTTTGATACAAAACAGATTACCATGAAACTTAATCAGAAAGAAATAATACAGCAGTATTCTATTTATTCATTAAGATTTTATTTACCAGTACATCATGAAGCTTAATAGTCACTTAACACTCAATCATCTTATTCACAACAAACCGCTTGTTTGAAATCACAAAGAGCTTCATATACAGAAGTTAATTCGATCAGATCGTCAGAATTTGGAACATAAGACTGATGTGTTTTTCATCTCTTCCTTGCGGAGTAAACAACGGGGACGCTCTAGCCTTGCCAATAACAATTGACAGGCCTCAAGATTAACTCAGTGTCACCTTGCTAACTAAGGGCAGTTAATCCTCTCACCCTTCAAAGAATGCCGGCTTGTAACCCTTGTTTCATGTTAGGGCACGAAGGCCACTTTCGGTAAAATGCGCCGTAAACATACTCGACAGGTGCTCAGCCATCCGATATAATGAGAAAAAAATGCATATGATTTAGCATTTTGTATGTGAAAATGACCATCCGGTTATGGAAACCGGATTCCGGTTAAGTGAAGTAGTTTTACAACGTTGTGAATTACGTTTTAATGAATTTTTACGCTCGAAGAGCGGTTTTCCGGATGATCTGAGGTTCGATAAACGGGCACGACTGTAATACTAATGAAGAATCTATGTAACTGAATGATGGACTGACTTCTAAACATGGCCGGGAATTTCACGTGAAGCATTGGCTCGACAGCGGTTCTCCCAGAAGAAGTCCTCACAGTCACCGTTTAGTTTTACACCACACACAGCAATATTCCAGCTATATGGCGGCAGTCTGTAAATAATCGAGTCTGGACCAGACAATCCAGTGATCAACAGAGCATTGATCTACACAATTTGGATATGATGACATGTGTCAACAAAGTCAGTGATCCCGTTAGTAGCCTCTTATACAACCATGGGTTGTCATAGATCCATTCTAACCCAGATCTTCACAGGTATCTCATTAGCATATTTATTACGTAGTGATACCAGGTTTATATGAATGTTTATGGCCTTGATAACTTTGTCCATTACGTGACAAATGTATATATTTACTACTTCCATGATTGCTTGTTCTTTCCCCTCACTAAACATTACTCAGTATACAGTGATACGAACAGAAATCAATGAGCATCATGGCACTCAACAAGCTGACATCTAGATTGTACTACAGTCGTGCCCCGTTTATCCGTACACTTGTGTTTTTCTTGAAATTGTTCGGATAAACGAATTTTCGGATATCTGAACCGAGGACCATATGGAAAAAGACAGACAAACAAACGAACATAATAAGCCTCAGACGTATTCTTTATTGATTGATTGGTCAACAAATAACAAATACTGTAAACGTATTATATTTCGCGCAGGTTTTATTTTCGCGCTTTTGAAGACAGAAATCTACGGGAATCTTAAAATGGCGACTGATAGTAGCATAAAGAATCATACTTAACTGTAAAGCTGTAATGGATTTCCCAAAACATAATTAAATAATGAGCCAAATCCCATCGCCGAATTAGCGAAAACAGCAATGTGTGTTGTGGCCGCAATGGAAATTGGTCACATGACAGATGGTTTGATACAAAACAGATTACCATGAAACGAATCAGAAAGAAATAATACAGCAGTATTCTATTTATTCATTAAGATTTTATTTACCAGTACATCATGAAGCGAATAGTCACTTAACACTCAATCATCTTATTCACAACAAACCGGCTTGTTTGAAATCACAAAGAGCTTCATATACAGAAGTTAATTCGTCAGATCGTCAGAATTCGGAACATAAGACTGATGTGTTTTTCATCTCTTCCGTGAGTAAACAACGGGGACGTCTAGCCTTGCCAATAACAATTGACAGGCCTCAAGATTAACTCAGTGTCACCTTGCTAATTAAGGGCAGTTAATCCTCTCACCCTTCAAAGAATGCCGGCTTGTAACCCTTGTTTCATGTTAGGGCACGCAAGGCCACTCGGTAAAATGCGCGTGTAAACATACTGACAGGTGCTCAGCCATCCGGATATACGAGAAAAAAATGCATATGATTTAGCATTTTGTATGTGAAAATGACCATCCGGTTATGGAAACCGGATTTCCGGTTAAGTGAGTAGTTTTACAACGTTGTGAATTCGTTTTAATGAATTTTCGTTCGGAAGGCGAGTTTTCCGGATATCTGAGGTTCGGATAAACGGGGCACGACTGTAATACTAACAGAAGAACGCATGTAACTGAATGATGGACTGACTTCTAAACATGGCCGGTACTCACGGAAGCATTGGTCGACAGGGTCTCCCCAGAAGAAGTCCTCACAGTCACCACAGGTCTGTCCTCCTCTCCCGGCCCGACACTCACACTGACCTTCCAGCTGGGGGCGACACGGACATGGTGCATGAATAGACGTGGGAAACTTATACATGGTGCATCATTAGATGTAGGTCAGTTGAAGTGGGAGAGTGAGTGAGTGAGTGAGTTTAGTTTTACACCACACTCAGCAATATTCCAGCTATATGGCGGCAGTCTGTAAATAATCAAGTCTGGACCAGACAATCCAGTGATCAACAGCATGAGCATCGGTCTGCGCAAGTGGGAACCGATGACATGTGTCAACCAAGTCAGCGAGCCTGACCGCCCGATCCCCTTAGTCACCTCTTACAACAAGCATGGGTTACTGAAGATTCATTCTAACCCGGATCTTCATGGGTCTGAAGTGGGAGAACATAAAGCAGGTCAACAGACATTACAGTGTCAGTATAACAAACATGGAAAATCAACTGGCAGCAACTAGATTTTTCGAATCATTGAACTGAATTTTTGAATTGTACTTAATTTTGTACCATTGAAATATTGCCATGCAAATATATTCATGGATTAATGGGACACAAATTCCTGCATCCAATAGGCATAATAATTGACAATGGACACAAAGAAATTTATTAACGCATCCACAGGGACGCAGAAGAAGTCCACATACGTTCTAATAAAATTCCAATCAAGTAACAATAAGTTAACACTGAGTTTGCTGCTAGCTGGGTTATGGTATCATGTGCAATTAAATTACTGTAACAATGTCATGATTCAATAACAAGTTTAATAGTAATATTTAAGTGTCCGGGACCCCCATTTTGTTGTCAGGACTGAAAACAAAGAGTATGAGTCCGAGGACCCACAAATACAGGACTCCAGGTACATTCCTGATTGTACCCATGTGGGCAATCAAACATGGGTCTTCGGCGTTACGAGCGAACACATCAACCACTAGGCCACCCCACTGCATCACTAAAAATATAAATGTTCACCTGTGTGCACTCAGTGGAGAGAGATCCCTCCGGATCACAGTTACAGGCATCACACCCCTTCCCACTCTGTAGGTTGTAGTGGCTTGGGGCACACTGTTCACATCGGAGACCGACCACGTTAGGCAGACAGGGGCACTGACCGTTGCGACGGTCACACTGACCACCATTGGCATCTGTACCCAGACTGAGGCAGACGCAGCCTGGCAGAAGACAAAGTTTGACTTCAGTTAAACAAGAGTCATCAGAAGATGACATATCCCCCCGGCCCCCACATATTTGAAAGAACAAATCATGTCAGTTACTTAAAGTCCAGCTTGACTTTTGTTTAAACCAAGTCCAAATCGTTTCCATGGATATCATGAGAAATATAAATGCAAAAAATCTGTAAATAGCAAAAGGCACATTTCAAAATTTGCCTAATATATCTGCCAAGTTCTGTTGAAAGATACTGAATGCTTTTAGAGTTGTGCACCTCAAAAGAAGCCTACCCCTCCCTTTGGGGACCAAGTCCTAATCGTTTCCATGGAAACCGGGAAAAATTAATATGCCAAAAATCTGCCAAATAGCAAAAGGCACCACTTTGGCATCTGCCTCACATATCTGCCTAGGTTTGCTGAAAGATATTAAGAAGTTTTCCAGTTGTGCTCCAGAAACGAACCCCACCCCTCCCTTTTGGAACTAAGTCCAAATCGTTTCCATGGAAACCAAAAAAAATAAAAATGACAAAAATCTGTAAATAGCAAAAGGCACCACTTCAAGATCTGTCTCATATATCTGCCAAGTTTTGCTGAAAGATCTTAAGAAGTTTTCGAGTTGTGCTCCGGAAACGAAACCCACCCCTCCCTTTGGGGACTAAGTCTGAATCGTTTCCATGGAAACCGGGAAAAATAAAAATGCCAAAAATCTGTAAATAGCAAAAGGCACCACTTAAGGATCTGTTTGATATATCTACCAAGTTTTGTTGAAAAATATTGAAAGTTTTTTGAGTTATGCTCCGGAAACGAAGCCAACCCCTCCCTTTTGGGACGAATCATTTCCATGGAAACCGGGAAAATTAAAAATGCCAAAAATCTGTAAATAGCAAAAGCCACCACCTTAGGTTCTGTTTGATATATCTACCAATTTCTGTTGAAATATATTGAACAGTTTTTGAGTTATGCTCGGGAAACAAAATGATTACAGACGGACGGACGGACGAGGGTCCACTATATCCCCCCGCATTACATGCCGGGGGATAAAAATATATTCTTGTATAAATACGTGTCACTACCATCCCATCACGTTGAACAATCAGTTATGATGACAAAATTGCCAAAGCAATGGCCAGAATGACTGGTCCTCGCGCGATTCGGGAAATGGAGCGTGTCTACCTTTAGTTCTTTAAAGACAAAATATTGCTGTTCATTATTTTTCAAACCCCAATTCTTTGAAAGGCATCAGTTCACCACATCCCTAGCAAATTTCATTATCAACTATTCAAGTGTTTTGGCATTATGCTTCAGAACAAGCACTACCATCAATTTCAGCAACATCCTACTCGTCGACATGAACCCCGCCCCTCTCCTTCACCGAATTGAAATGATAACAATCACAAATTATCAAAGGGCACCAGTTCACCACTTGCCTGAACTGTAAAGCAAGTTTCACCATAAACTACTGGGCCCACTTGCACAGAGCAATCTGAGTTACAATCAATCTTAGGGCCTTACAATCAAAAATACAATCACCGTACAATTGCCCTAATCCACTTGCACAAAGCTGATCTTAGCACGATTGTAAGACGGCATGGATTTAATCAGCATAATATTTCAAGGGAAATCACTCCCATCTTGCATGAAAAAACTGAACCAGGCGGGAATAGTACTTTATGATATTGACTCTACCGCAAATAACGATGTTTCTGACTTTAAATCGGTTGTGCATTCTCCGTGTTGTTGAACTGTCGAGGCGAACCACACAGTTTTATACAATATAAAAGCAGTGTCCAAAAGTAAAGCTGATTATCTGCGTGAAACAGACACTAACTTGAACGCCATTTTGTCACAGACTACAATGATCTTAGCTCTGATTCTAACTTACAATTATCTTAGCCTACAATTGCTTTGTGCAAGTGGATGGCGATTGTAGCCGAAGCCTAAGATCGCGATCTTAAGGATTTACAATAATTGTAGCGCTAAGATCGTTCTGTGCAAGTGGGCCCTGAACAATATTCGAAACGGAACAGAGACTGGTGAGATGGCCAGATTTATAGATATGCTGATCCCATCATTGCCTCTGTCTTACAAGCAAAGGGGATGACATGATCACTGCCAGTACGGTTTTACGCCACTTTAAACAATATTCCAGTAGTATCACGGCAGAGGACATGTCTTCACATATTGTACCCATGTGGGGAATTGAATTGGCTCTTCTACATGACAAGAAGATGCTTTAACCACTACGCTACCTAGAATAATACTCTCTATTAGATCTCACTTACTCTTGCAGTCTTGAGTTGTGGCATCTCCGTAGTAACCAGAGACACATTGTTCACAGCTGAAGCCCTCGGTATTGAACTGACACTTGAGGCACTCGCCACTGTCACGGGTCGCAGCTGCCGGGGACGTCGGGGTCAATGTTGTTGTTGCAGAAACATTGCTCACAGCTGCCACCAGGGGACAGCGGGTTGCCGAAGTAGTTCTCGGAACACCGATCACATGTTGGTCCTACGAAAATACAACTCGAGGAATTACACACTGATGGTGATGTCTACATTTTATCACAATAAATATTGCCTCTATTTCACTAATTATCATGTCAGTAGGTTTGGAGAGATCACTTTACCATTTGAGATATAATATTCTTTATTCTACATGGACTATTTGTTTTCTGCAGGAACTTATCCTCAAATCAACTGTGAAATGTTTATAATTGCCTTTTTTTGCATCTTTGCTCACTGACCAAAACATTTCACAATACTGAAAATGAAACGAGTTTGATTTCAACATCTCATTCCTATACTGTCTCCACAAGTCTGCTATCTAAAGCTTAATGTGATTGAGTTAAGTCCCCTTACTGTCGTATCCAGGGTAACAGTCACATGTTACAGAGTTGGTCCTGGGATCAAGGCCGCAGGTGTCGGCATGCTGGTTCTCGGAGCCAGGTCCACCTGGGCAGAGACAGGGGCGGCAGGGAATACGCGCACCAGCACGGGGGTCGCCATAGTAACCATTCATACATCTGAAACAGCAATATCATTATTCAAGGAGCAAACTATAATGTTTTGCTAAATTTAGGGGAAATCACTGGCAATATGGGTATTTTCAAGGCTTAAACCTGTTTGTGTCCTTTTTAGGGTAAATTGTTCAAATTTCATGCTTTTTTCATGCCCTTGTGAACATGGAAAATTCAAATTGCTGGTACCATGGACAAGTATGCTCCTAAAAACTTGACCTCACACAGGATTCCGTGAACAGCCAGATTTAACTACACGGAACCATATTTCAATTTCAATTTCAATCACAGCATGTCAGCTCAATTTGACAGTTAAGACCGATGTAGTGCTTGTTGTAGATGACCGTCACTTCCATGAAACCCTCGGACAACAAATGATCATAATCTGGCGAAATGTTCTCCTACAACCATGTTGCATGTATACTGCTCCTGTCCTATGCAAACATAATACTGGCAATCTGAACACTTTAAAGGATGCATTTGTTTCAGATGCATTTTATGTTTAAATTTGAAATTAAGTTATAATTTGTCAAGAGAGGTGACAAAGCCACGATGAGGCGAACTGGACGAACACCAGTTCCACTAAACCATGAAAACATCAAACAACATTTATCCAAGAATAGCACATGTTCTCATACCTGTCGCAGTACTGTCCGCCGGTGAAGTTGCGGCATCCGATACAGCGACCATCAAGGTTATCACAGGTGTCGGCGTTGCCGTTACACTGACACTGCCGACACTGGGGGAAGCCCCAGAACCCAACGCGGCAACTGTCACAGGCACGTCCGTAGGCGTTCTGTATACACGACACTGGCCAGACTGCTCATTACAGAAGTTGTCTCTGGCGCCAATATTGTGGCAGTTACACGCTGGTGGCAGAAAATTGAGTGAGTGTGTGAGTGAGTGAGGTATTATGGTTTAAGCAATATTCCAGCAATATCACATCCGGGGACACCAGAAATGGGTTTCACACTTTGTACCCATGATTGGAATTGAACCTGGGCCTTTGGTGTGACGAGCAGGTACTTTCACCACTAGGCTTTACCCATTACTAATAATGGAAACGTCATGAACCTCTTCCAGGGAACGTATCATAGCAGAAGTGAAAATACACAGTCTAGTTTAACAGCAAGTGCTGTGTAACACTAATAAATTACACTGACTATATATCTGGGTTTTGGATAGATCTGTTATCTACATTATTAGTTTAAATCAGAGAGCTTTTTGCTGCTGTTGCTGTTAATAAAAGAGTCACCAATGTACAAAAAACAGATTCCAGATGCCAACACTATTCATGTAGAACTCTTAAGTATTTTCCTAAGTCATAAAGGACAGCATCTGTTTTTAAAGATTCCTAAAAGTGAAAAAAACAAAACATCGCTCACTGTATCATAGACATCGCTCACGAATCTGTAGGGACAATTTTGCTGATGCAGCTCATTTTTACTGACCGAGATCAGAAGCTCACCTGTACATCCGTTGGGCCCAAAGCCGTACGTCCCAGGTGCGCACTGGTCACATCTCCTTCCAACCACATTGGGCTTGCAGGGGCATTGACCCCCCTCAGGGTTACACTCACGACTCGAGGAACCAGTTGGGTCACAGTCACAGTCTGTACGCATAAACACAAATGGACATATATTAGTGGGAGAGTTTAGTTTTACGCCACTTTTACCAATATTCCAGCAATATCACAGCGGGGGACATCAGAAATGGGCTTAAGAGATTGTACCCATGTGGGGAATCGAACCCGGGGCTTCGGCATGACGAGCTTTAACCACTAGGCTACCCTACCGCCCCAGGGGTACACATGGACATATATCAAACTTTGTCACCCTCAGTTCTTGGGTTTGGGTCGTAAACAGAAGTCCACAGGATTTACAACTTCAATACCAGGGGACGCTTGGTTGAATTGTATCTGGTGAAAGTTTATATCAGAGTGAGTGAGTGAGTTTAGATTTACATCGCTTTTAGCAATATTCTAGCAATATTCCAGCAATATCATGGCTGGGGACACCAGAAATAGGCTTCACACATTGTACCCATGTGGGGAATTGAACCCGGGTCTTCGGCGTGAACGCTTTGACCGCTTTGACCACTTGCCCCTTACCCTGACTGACTGCCCCGAGCTTTTGAAACTGCTAGGAAACAGCACAATGGACACCATAGTCAGAATGCAAAGAAAAAAACATTAGCAGCATTATGTTCATAAAAACCTGAACAGAATATATTCCACCATGTCCATGCAACAGCTAGAATCTGCAGAGTTACTACATGTTCAAAAATTGTTTGTATTGAAACCATATTCAGCTGATGTGAGTGAAATCCACTGACCGATGGCTCCATTGTGGAGCACAGAGGAGATGCTGAAGATGTGGCCCTTGCAGACGTCTGGCATTTCTGGCTGGATGGAGTTGAACTGCAGCTGACGACATCGGTTGCGCAGGAAGTCGTTCTTCATGTACTCGTGAAGTCCGGGGATCTGGAAGATCGGGATGGCGTCGGTGTTGGGGACCAGCATCAACTGGAAACATAAACAATGTTGGGTGAGTGAGTGGCGCGGACCTCTCAGCAACATAACAGCTATACTAGACATCATCACAGCTAGACGTCTTGCAATAACATTACACCTGTATCTCAACAAAAGTTAATCAATATCACAGTTACATCACAGCCAGACACAAGTAAACCACTCACAGAGTCAACAAACATGGTTGCGTCTGGTGTCTGCTGGCCTTGCTTGTACCGCTGGAAGTCCAGTCTGATGGTGTACGTCTTGCCGCTTTCCAGACAGGATGGAGGGGTCACCAGCTGGTACCGTGCACCTAGGGATAGATGGGACATTACTTATTGATATCAGAACACTAGGAGCAAAACAGACAGGATGGAGGGGTCACCAGCTGGTACTGTGCACGTTGGGATAGATGGGACATTACTTATTAATATCAGAACACTAGGAGCAAAACAGACAGGATGGAGGGGTCACCAGCTGGTACTGTGCACCTAGGGATAGATAGGACCAAAATTAATTACATCGGAACACTAGGAGCAGAACAGACATGATGGTATGGTCACCAGCTGGTACTGTGCACGTTGGGATAGATGGGACATAACTTGATGATATCAGAACACTAGGAGCAACACAGACATGATGGAGGGGTCACCAGCTAGTACCGTGGCACACTATTTTCCATCGTTTAATATGTGTTTTATGTGTGCCCTTTTTCTGTCACAATCAGTGTAGAATCTACTGAAAGAGCTGGGTGGTTAACTGGAAGGCCTAATGGTTTGTCTGACTTGAGTTTAAGTGTGGTCATATGCTGTTTTGAATCACTGACCATATTACCATGACAACACAACACGTCAGAGTGTCTGACAAACTCAAGGTCTCATCTGTTACATACAGTTCAGTCAATTTTTAAGGTTTCGTCTTTTATATACAGTTCAGTCAATTTTCAAAACAATTTTTAAATAACTTTGTGCACTCACCTGGTTCAATGGTGACAGACTTGATGTCATCCTGAGGGATTAAGTCAGCACACAGACCATCTGGGTCCACCTGGTCCGGTCGTACCACTGTCACGCGAACATCCTCCCACATCTCTGGCATCTGAGGTCAAGGTCAAGGTCAGGAATATTACAAATCCTCAGTAAAGTTTCAATTTACAAAAGGCCTAAAAACATATTCAATAAAAACGCAAAAAAAGGCTCATATGAGCTGAAAGTCAATGTCAACAATATTACAATTCAATGGCCATCAGTAAAGTTCTAGTTTATGAAAAGACTAAAGACACATTCAAGATCAAGCATATTACTTCTATGCAGATGACATTTGAATTGACATACAAAGAACTTGTTTTCTTCTTCTCTGCTACTTGCTGTATATTCTATCTGGAATGCGTATATCGAATTACGTTACAACAAAGATTAGTGGTCTCTTACAGTTCGTAATAACTTAAGTTTATTGTAAACATGTTATGGCAAACCTTTTTCCCCCATAAAAGGAAGAACGTCTTACCCTTGGGTCATATCTGAGGATGATGTCGTAGTAGGTGGGGAAGCTGATGTCACTGACGGTGAACTCGATGCTGTCGCCCTCCATCACCCTCATGTAGCCTGGTCCTGTCCAGTACGAAGGACCACCTGGGATTGGTTCCCGGATGTACACTCGAGCATTCTGCACAAATATTCATTTCAAAGTTATGACAGCTGAAGGTACATTTCATTTAAAAGAATGTTAAATCCCTACAAAATTAACGGCAGCTTTTAAAATCCTCACAACCAATCAAGTTGTATTTGTGATTATGGGATGGTGTAAGCACATTCGTTCACCTGATGACCCTGTGTGCAGTCCTTCAGTTGATGGCTCCATGAGCCATGTTTCTTTGTTGTTGTTTAACACAGAACTCAGCAATATTTCAGCTAAATGGAGGTGGTCTAACCGAGTCCAGACAATCCAGTGATCAATACCACGAGCACCGATCTACGCAATCGGGATACGATGACATGTGTCAGCCAGTCAACGAGCCTGACAAACCGATTCCTATTGTTGCCTCATAGGACAGGCACCTAACCCAGATTTTTGCGGGTCCATAATATGCGAGTTGATATTCAGATCTGGCATTTAACAGATTGACAATCACTGCCAGACAGAACGTCTGCTTTGTCCTGACACACCTGCTGTTATTGTGAAACTAAAGTTCTTTCATAATTAAGCTGTGATTCTGAAACCTACATTTGCAACGTGTGTAAAGATATTAAAATTTATTACCTACGAGGGCGAAAATATCGGGGCTCATATTTTCCAAGCGATGCCCTAGGGTAAAATATCACTTTGTCATGGTGACGTGACATTATGAACAATGCAATGACGTCACGTGTCTTCTGTGATGTTGCGTTCTACATGCAGCGAGGACAGGTAGCCAGCCTATGTTTGAAAGTAGATGTGGGTTTCTTTTCCTCTATTTGACCACTTCGGTAATAAACAGAATATCATATTCATGCCCATATCATACTATGTTTATGATACTGGTGCCTAAATATCGGTATATCCCCCGCTCTCGCTTGGGAATTAACAACATTTAGGCACCTGTGTCGTAAACGTAGTATGACATGGGCACCCATATAATATCCTCTATGTATTTTCACCCACTTCCACAATGAAAGATATCTATGGATCAAGGAGTTATATAAGTGACTCACCCCACTGCCGCGTCCAAACTCTGCTTCGTACGTGTAATAATCCAAACCAGCGTAGAAGTAGCCTGGATTCACCTGCTTGCAGTGTTTGCCGATGATGTTTGGCCGACAGGTGCACTGTCCCGAATACTGATCACATGACTCGCTGAGAGCGCCACCTATGTCACAGTTGCAAGCTTCACATCCATAAGGGCCATCACTCAGACCGTAGAAGCCTCGCTGTAAGAGTGACACATCTGGGTTATGAGAAACTACATAAATAAAAAATCTACGACAGTAAACAGTAAATCTTAGATGTTCATATTAACATCACAAAATCACTGAAATTGTGCTCAATCGGAAAAATGTTGTAACTGATGTCAATTTAATATAAACCTAAAAATTTCTATGTAGATTTATACTGCTGGAATATTACTATAAGGGGCATAAAACCATCACTCCCTCACTCACTCATCTCTACCTCTTAATTTAAATAATGAGTATGGCTTTGCGCCCCTTTTAGCTATATTCCAGCAATATCACGGCTGGGGACACCAGAAATAGGTTTCACACATTGTACTCATGTAGGGAATTGAACCCGGGTCTTCGGCGTGGCAAGCGAACACTTTAACCACAATGCTACCTGACTGCCCCCTTCAAATAAATAAAAAATCCCAAAGAGTGTAGGGCTGAAATTGTGTAGTTTTCCAGTCAATTTAGACAGCTCCAGAAAGACCAGACTAATTTCATGCTGAATGTCTAATATCTTAGTCAGAGAGGCATACAATCTGCCTGCACTGGTGTCTTTTAGACATTGTTTTGTTTCATCATGATTAAAGAAAAACAACCTATCATATATATTGAATAAGTGATTTCAACAATTTGAAAATCAAAGGCAAAGACATGGTTCCACTCAGAACCAGGATTCTTAACATCCACCTTCAAAACAAAACTTGCAGTTGCATCAAGGACTGACTTAACACACTGTTCTCACTGGGGAATAAAATCAGGAAATTGGCATAGCAAGCGAACACCTCAACCACTCCGCAACCTATCCCATTTTGGCAGCCTGTGAGCTTGATAAAAATACAAGAACCATCTGTTTCGGCCTCGAATACTAGTGCTGTAACGATGCATCGAATTATCGATGGACTGCAATAGTTGAGTCTCCCATAGCAATTAATCCTTGGTAGAAATGAAAAACTATCAATGCATCAATAGTAGGTGTGACTATCGATAGTTTACTAATTGACCTCTGTTAAATGTGCAGTGCAAAATACAGAAAGTACCAGATTTGTTCACTTTAATTTAGAGTTATCAGCCCCTGTTACCAAACATGGCGGCAAACACGGCATGCGACTCGGAGTTTGAAATTGGGAATAACAATAAGTTTATGTTGATCTGTGTTTGAATTTTCTTGCAAGTTCTTAACAGAGACTGAAACTACTTCAACTTGTTTTTATTTAATATAAACTATACATTCATTTGGGAAATGACTTCTCGACACTCGATTCAAGGCGAAAAAAACCCTATTGCAATAGTATTGCAATAGTTGGTCACAACAGACTACAGCTATCGCAATAGTTGTTTCCCCCTCAATAGTCACCCCTATTGAATACTCACGTGGCACTCATCACAGTTCTGTCCAGTGACGTATCTCTTACACAGACAGAGGCCAGTGTACTGGTCACAACCAAAGTCTCCCAGCGTTCCCAGAGGGTTACACGAACAGGCTGAAAAAAGTCAATTTGTATCAATTACTGTATTTCAACAGGAAGCAGCTGCCTGTTCATAATAATTATTATGCTGTGTATTGGCAAATAATTTGTATTGCAATATATTGCGATTCAGGTAGCCATATTGCAATACGTACTGCGATATATTGGGAACTTAAGTGCTTGACAGTGAGTGAGACTAATTGTACATGTTGATCCTATTTTCTACATTATAAGTCCCTAAACATACATGTTATGGTTCTGATAACAACAACCTCAAAATTAGGTTGCATAGTCAGTGATTCTATTGTCTTTTTATACAATATATACTGTTACAGTTTGCTGTTTTGTCATGGAGTAACGAAGGAAAACATCTGTTGTGAATGAGAGTCTGTGTAGATTTTAATTGAAACCATAAAGATAATAACAAAAACGTCATATATGTTCTTCAGCCAATATACCGTTCTCAGAAAAAATATTGCAATACGTATCGTTTGAAAAGCATATTGCGATATGTAAACACCTTATTATATTGCGATATGTAAACACCTTATTATATTGCGATATGTAAACACCTTATTATATTGCGATATGTAAACACCTTATTATATTGCGACATGTAAACACCTTATTATATTGCGATATGTAAACACCGTATTATATTGCGATATGTAAACACCGTATTATATTGTGATATGTAAACACCATATTATATTGCGATATGTAAACACCTTATTGTTTGGCTGTTTACTGTTTAATGCCACACTCGGCAATATTCCAGCTATATGGCTGCACATCGATCTATGCAATTCAGATTCGATGACGTGTCAACAGAGTCAGCAAGCCTGACCACCTGATCCCGTTTGTCACCTCTTATTTCAAACATGAAGCATGGGTTACTGAAGACCCATTCTAACCCAAATCTTCATGGGTTATCTCTACAGTTATCAGTGGCATTTCAGTTTTCATATATGTCTTTTATAGTTTACTCTACTGTTGTTAGCTGACCAATTTTAATGTAAACACCTTGAAAACAACAAAGTTGTACCTACCATCACAGCCGAGTGGGTTGTCTGTCTGAAGGTTCCAGTAGTTCTCCACACACTGGTCACATCGTGACCCTCGGACATGGCGCTTGCACCGACATCGACCACCCTCCAGGCCAAGCACTTCGTCTGTACGACCCTCACACTCGCCATTCCGCTCGGATCCAACTGGGTCACAGTCACATGCTGCAAAATGACAGTGGAAAAATGTTATAAATGTAAACGAGACCCTTGTCATAAATGTACTATGTTATAAATGTTCTTGGCACTGAAACAATGTTATCGCTAGGTTCTCTTTCTGGGACATCTATACACCTACATTTAGCAGATGTCATACTTACGTTGACATATCTCTGGGACATCCACAGACCTACATGTAGGAGAGCCCATACTTACGTTGACATATCTTTTGGACATCCATACATTATATGTAGCAGACGTCATACTTACGTTGACATATCTCTGGGTCCTGTCTCTGGGCCATGCATACACCCACATGCCGCAGACGTCATACTTACTTTGACATATCTCTGGGTCCTGTCTTTGGGCCATGCATACACCCACATGCCGCAGACGTCATACTTACGTTGACATATCTCTAGGTCCTGTCTCTGGGCCATGCATACACCCACATGTAGCAGACGTCATACTTACGTTGACATATCTCTGGGTCCTGTCTCGGGGCCATGCATACACCCACATGTCGCAGACGTCATACTTACGTTGACATATCTCTGGGTCCCGTATGTCTCTGTTTGGGTCTTGGAAGAAGAAGGGTTTACACTCCTGACAATTGCGTCCTTGTGTGTTGTGTTGGCAGTTGTCACAGACGCCGCCACTGACACGACCTGTAGCCTCAAACACCGCTGGATCAAAGTGACACTGGGCAGCATGATTGTTGCAGTTGCATTCTGGGAAAAAGAAAGACATCTTTGTCAATGAAGGTGGGTTTAAATACTAGACAGAAAAACTCCGACAAATAACGGACAAGAGCAATTACAAGAAATGGGATTATCACCACCATGCCCAGTGTGAGTGATTGAGTATGGTTTTACACCGCTTTTAGCAATATTCCAGCAACAACAGGGCGGGGGACACCAGAAATGGGCTGCACACATTTTACCCATGTGGACAATCGAAACTGGGTCTTCGGCATGTAGAGCAAATGTTTTAACCAGAAGGCAACCCCATCGCCCCGTTTTCAGCAATAATGCAGCCTGTTATTCTTAATGTAATACAGAACAAGGGAGTTCACTGTGAGCATAATGCTGAGACACAGGATCATTGTCACACAGAATCCCGGACTAATAAACATCAGCTGATCCTGAAATGACTAAGGGACATAACCCTCTATGAATTTCAGTGCTTAAGTTGATCACTAAGGGAAATAAAAGGGAAGTAAGTGCTGAATTCAACATCTTTTTAAATACACTGTTTACAACCATTGCACTGTAATAATTTAGTCACTTACAAAACCTACTTCAGTTGTGCGGATTTCAGACACAATGTCATATGCTGAGAATGGAGTGTAATATCAAAAGAAATACTTGACATTCAAAAATGATACCAAGCACAATCACAAAACTCAATCAGAATCAGTTGTCATTTCTCTATGCCATGACTCACACATATTTCGATCAGCCTGATAGAATTTAGTAAAATGACAGACAGGGAACACGAGAAATGGGCTTCACACCCATGTGGGGAATCAAACCCCGGTCTTCGGTGTGTGGAGCGAAAGCTTTAACCACTAGGCTACCCCACCGCCCCGATCCCGATGTAATTGTGAGCTTACTCGCACAAGCATTTGGCTGGTTCCTCCTCGCTGGCTGCCATGGCAGATCGTTGTAGAACTCGTCACACATCTCACAGTTCAGGCCCCTGGTGTTGTGTGTACACTCGCACATGCCATGCACCTGCAACAAGAGAGTGAGTTTCGTCTTACGCCGCACACAGCAATATTCCAGCTATAGGGTGGTGGTTTGTAAATAATCTAGTCTGGACTATAAGAGTATAAGGTTTTACCTTCGGGCCGCCGCTACACAGTACCAATCACCAAGACTAAACGAGCTCGAACGTCTTTTGTACCTCAAAGTATTGCAATTTTAAACAAATGTTGAATGTCCAGTTATCATCTTATTCATTTAATAATATTCAAGCACATATTATTCTCTTTTTATGTTTTCAATAATTTCATATTTCATGTTGTTATTCATTTGTTTTGTCGAGCTTCGTGATCCAAAACGAATTCCTTTTAAGGTAATAAAGTATTATCTGTCTGTCTGTCTGACCAGACAATCCAGTGATCAACAGCATGAGCATCACTATTGGGATACGATAACATGTGTCAACCAAGTCAGCGAGCCTGACCACCTGATCCTGTTAGTCACCTCTTACGACAAGCATGGGTTACTGAAGATCAATTCTAACCCGTATATTCACAGGTATGCAACAAGAGAGAGTAAATAACATTGTACCCATGTAGGGAATTAAACACAGGTTTTTGGCATGCTGTTCAAACACGTTAATCACTAGGCTACCCCAAAACCAACTTACAACAAGAGCTGCATATCTGCATTTAATTTTTTCAAAAACTGTATATGATAAAATAAGCAAATCTAGACGTAAAAAATCAACATTAAGACAGCATTAGTTTATAACATAATATTAAAAATACGAACAACCTGCTTTGCAAAAATAGATTTCACATGATATTATATATCATATGTTAAGTAACATAAATAAATGGGAAATTGGTTTACCAAGATGATCAAAGAGATGAACTTTCTCACTATACCATGTACACACTTCAATAACAATAATTTTCTCTGGACCCAAATTTTCTTTGTAACATTAATGATGAACACTCAACAAAGGGCGGTTGAAACATTGATAATGCCAATGTGCGTATAGCAAAGGGCTGTTGAAATCAACATACCATGTTTGGGAGTGAGTCAAATCCCGGCACCGGCAAACATCTGGAGGCGTGGCCATAGCAGGAGCAGCTCCCTCGGACGGTCATGTCAAACACAGAGTAATAATACTTCTCCTTGATCTCTGAACGGCTGTCCAGCTGAGTGTCACCTAGCAACACAATAAAATCAGAATTAATGGAAAATCATATATATGTCAGGGTAGAGACTGCGATCTGGTAGAATCGGAGATTCTACCAGTAGAGATTGCGATCGGAGTCTCTACTGGTAGAATCTCCGATCCTACTAGTAGAGATAGCAATCGTAGTCTCTACTGGTAGAGACTACGATTATATGGAATAACCTATGCAAGCAAGTGCAAGCTATGCAAGCAAGTATAATAAGTGGGGATAATGTTTTCCTTTTATTTGCCAGTTATATTTGAACTTATTTATTGTTATCTTGTTAACTTTATTTGTTAAGTCTGTTTTGGAGTAAGGTATTTTGTTTATGTTTTTTGAGTGGAGTCCAAATTTGGCATCTTGGTCTCATGATGTAAATACAGTGTTACAAACCATTTGTATTTTTTATTTTGATATTGTTTACAGTGAGGTGTTTTAAATGTTTGTTATCAAAGTCTCAGTTAAAAGTAGGAAGTTCATTCAGATGTATTTCAAAACTTATGATCAGTAATTGTTATAAAAACACTGCTTTCCAAAGAGGTGGGGAAATGACCAGGTGGGGATATTTCAGATGGGGTAATGACCTGGTGGGGAATTTATAAGCTCGTGTCATTGTTGAGGCAATGCTCGACCTTTACTTTAGTTTAAGTTTGAGTACATATTGTAATTTATTGTTGTTTAAAACTACTAAGTTTAATGTTTGCCAGTTAACTGCTTAATATATATGTAGAAGTGGAAATAGTCTAGTGTTATATCTGAATAAAATGCATAGTACTGTTCAGAAAAAGTGTCTTTGTTGTTTACCCACAGATCACTCGAGTTTCTACCAGTTGAAGACGATTGCAGCCTCTACTAGTGGGATCGGAGTTTCTACCAGTTGAATTGGAAAATGTACTGGTAGAATCTCCGATTCAACCAGTAGAGACTACGAATACAATCTCTACTAGTAGGATTGGAGATTCTACAAGTAGAGACTCCGATCGCAGTCCCTACTGGTAGAGACTCCGATTGCAATCTCTATTGGTAGAATCTCCGATTCTACCAGATCGCAGTCTCTACCCTGACATATAGTTATTCAATAAAACCTGTATATAAAAAATGACAAGAAAAATGTTAACTGCAAAAAGCCCCAGGTGACATGATCAGCTGACAACCAGGGCCTCCTTTCACAAAGCACTAATGTATGGTTATGTGTACTTTCCGTAGGTAGGTATTTCTTTTGAAGACATTGCTAAAAATTAATGGCATTTCATACTTGTCTACTCCATGGATAATTGCTCAATATCAATCACAGGACTGTCTGGACCAAGGCCTCCTTTTACAAAGCACAAAGGTGATCGTAAGTCACTAAGGTAACCTTAGAGCAATGTTAAAGAATGGATTTCAGGTTAACCTTAGTAAAGGTTGTTTCGTGAAAGGAGTCCCTGATCTTTTGGAGTGAGAAGTTGTTGCCATGGAAAGAAAGACATTTCTTTCCATTGAATTGGCAGACAACCAAATTGAGAATAAAGTTGTTCCCATGGAAACAGAAAGGCTGAAAGTTGTCAAAATACCATCACTCACTTCTCTTGAGTTAGAAGGCACCATCTAACAACCTGGATTGAGAATATCCTCAAGTTTCTGGTGTCCGGGGAATAACAAGGAAAGTGTTGAAAATAAATAAACATTTACACCTTCCCCGTGAACGTATACCACATAGTGACCACACAGGAAAGGAAAAATAACTTCAACTGCTGACTAAAATGCAAATGAGGAAAATTAATACTAAGAGCTAGGAAAATAGAATTGACCCACTTGGTTTAAAATCACACATATTTCATTTTCTTTTTTCATTAAACAGTGGAATATTGCAAGCTAAAACCTCCCTGATATCGAAACCTGCTTTCTAGCCTGCTCATGTTTACATGCATATATCTACAGAAAAATAGATCAAATGAAACAAGTTTTCTGAAGTGTATTATTAACAGCTGAATGTAATTTATCCACACATGGTTGGAGAAGAATACATGTGCACCAACAGCAACACGATACTTATCTCTACATTCTCAAATGTTTTCTTATCAACAAACAAGCATGCATTAATTACTGTTTTCCTCTAAATTCCTTCAATGGTTTCCATATACTGTCATGTTTCCACCAGCAGCTGATGGATTTACCAGCTGCATGGCCTCCGAGACAGCCAGGCCATGTCACGGGTTTTCACAAAACAATGTTACACTGAGTCAGACAAGCAGAGTGAGTCTCTAACAGCCAGGTGTTAGAGAAGCACGTGCACAAGTGCCGACAAAGTTAATGATTCATTAACCTGTGCTGTGCCATCGCCATCTTTTCTCGCACATCTGGCTGTCCCTTTCTTTGCACTCCTCCCTCACTGTGTCAATATTTTAATGATAGTTTGTTAAACAACTTTTCTAATTTTAGGACCTAAATTCTGCACACAAATCACAGAGTTGGTCTGATGTTTTGATTATGATCAGCGTTTCATTGAGTATTATATGTTTATTAGTTTTCGAGTAAGATTGCAATTCATCGGTCCGCTTTTGAGCCAAACGCACTATATATGCAAGTATAGTGAAGACGGTTAAGAACTTCATTCAAGCAGGTATGTCAACATGGTTATGAAGCTCACCTAACGTGTGGAGTTCCGTGAAGTTTACTCTCAAGTTGGTGAGTTTGAGCAGATCCTGCACCTGTTCGCTGTATGGGTCCTTGATGGGAATGAATGGCGGCAACACACGGAAAATGACCTGGGAAAAAAAGTAGTTACAATAAAAGCATGAGAGAGACACGTTCACTGCCAAACAGTCACACCACTGTGTCTGGGAACAAATGAGTGAGTTTGGTTGTACGCCGCTTTTAGCAATATTCCAGCAATATCACGGCGGGGGACACCAGAAATGGGCTTCACTGAACAATATAGCAACTATAGGATGACAGCATGTAAATAACCGAGTCTAGACCAAACAATCCAATGGTCGAGATAGTGAGCATCAATCATAGTTTGATGACATTAACAATGGTTCTGAGCCTGACAGACTGATGCATTTGGTCTCCTACAACCAGTATGGAATCTGGGGACCTATTCTTATGCCGAGGATTGCAGCTCTTTACTACCTGGTGAAACCAATGAACACAGGAAAAGAGTCAGGGAGTATGGTTTTACGTCGCTTTCAGCAATATTCCAGCAATATCACAGGACACCAGAAATGGGCTTGACACATAGTACCCACGTGAGGATTCAAACCCAGTATTCGGTATGACGAGAGAACGCTTTAACCACTAGGCTACCCAACCACCCCCACAGGAAAAGAACCTAACAAACCAGTGATTAATATCATGAGCAACTTTCTAGACCATGTGGTAGATGTCATGCAGTCATCCAAACCTCCTGACGGATTTAGAGACTTCTTAAAACACAATACAGGTTACTGATTATCTTGCTAACCCAGAATACATCCATAAACCAAGGGTTATAATCGTTGTGACTCTCAGAAGCAGATCCTGCCACGCGGTGACAGTCTGACTCAACACAAACACTTACCTCTCCCTGAGTTGACGGTGTTTCCGCTGAGTATTTTGTCTGACAAATAACATCAGTCATTGACCGCACGGGTCCTCTTGGAATTCCAGGGAAAGATTTGCGACAGCTCTGAGCAAAATAACGATACACTTTCCAAGTTTTACCAAAATCATATGACCTTTCTATAAACATAGCCTTTGGCCTGAATGTTTTAAATGTCATAATCAAATGAGTAAAATGAAACTCTGCTTCAAGATCCAGCTGAATTGAAACATTCTCAACACCATTTTCAGCCTGCCACCACCGATCTCGTCTGTCTTTGAATGACGAGACAATGTTCTCGATCCGGTGGCTGTTTTCATGTACTTTCGACTGCCATGGATCTTGCGACTCGCACTGAAAGCACTTTGTCCGCTTTTCTAGATATGACACAACACAATATCTCTCCGGTTTGTTCAAACCGCACGTGGATGATGCTTTAAGTTGCTTTCCTCGACCAATCAGAAGATCTCCTGTGGCGGGGTAGCAGCTGCCTTGCTCGCACTGACGTTGTCGCCGAGACTGACCCACGACATCTGCAAAAAGGAAGATAACTCTTAGCATCACTCTATCACTAAACCGGCTACTTGTACTTTTATTCTTCGTCGATAAGTTATCACATAGACTTACATCAAGACATTGTCTTAGGACTAGACAAACGCTTAGTCCCTGAATATATATAATATTGATATAAACAAATAAACCAATTTAAATTAAACAGGAGCCCTAGTGAGTTGGAAGATTCTTTACGGCTTTAGCATTGCAGGGAGGGCTGGGTAAAGGGAAATTACTGTGGTTTAGGGCCTGTGACACAGACTCTCTAAGGACAAGCATGGGTTGTTGATAACCAATTGCAACCTGGATCTTCACAGGTGTAATTTATCGAACTACTTTGCTGTGTAATTCATGTAGAAAAATGTCTTGATGAATTTGGTCTTCAGTAACCCATGCTTGTCGTAAGAGGCCACTAATGAGATCGGGTGGTCAGACTTGTTGACTTGGTTGACACATGTCATCGTATCCCAATTGCGTATATTGATGCTTATGTTGTTGATCACAGGATTGTCTGGTCCAGACTTGAGCATTTACAGATCGCTGCCATATAGCTTGAATATTGCTAGGTGCGATGTTAAACAACAGACAAGTATGATAAATTCTCAAAAAATGCCCAGATACAAAATAGTACAACTACAAGAGCATTCTACTTTTGACCGTGACAACATCATGCCATGTAACTACCTATACACTCATAAAACAATTTCCTCCCGCAACAAGAGAAGAAGACAGTTAGACAAGAACAAACATAAATCTGTAAAAGATTAAAACGGTTCCAAAATGCATTTGTAGTTAAGATATAACTTTGCCTTTCAATTGTGACTATATGTACCAGTAATCGCTAAACATCAAGTCGATACAAATGTCATGACTCAACATGATCATTTTACCATTTACAAATCCATTTGGATATAACTTTACCAATATGATAGGTACACATAGATCATTTATATTCATGAGTGATGTGTGAGTGCATATATGAAGTGTCCTTAAAGCTGTACCTTTTTCCTTATGCAAGTTATTTTTGATGCTTGAATTAAGTAGCTCACATCAATTCTTGAGCTCCCTGTCAGTCTCTGTCTAGCAGGTGCTATTCTCCAATCATTTGTTCTTAGACTATTTATGTCAAATAATAATTTGATTGAATTTCAAAAATATATATCTTACTTCTTCATAAATAAATGAATGAATGAATGAATGAATGAATGAATGAATGAATGAATGAATGAATGAATGAATGAATGAATGAATGAATGAATGAATGAATAAATAAATAAATATGCATGTCATGCATGATCACAATACCATTCAAGGACCTACTGAAAATTAACCGTAACCACTCAGACTTGGGCTATGCTATAACCACCACGTAGTAGGGAGTTATAATTGTTATTCTACCCTTCACATGTCCCAAGAAGACCATCTGACATATTGGTGGATCCTATACAATACACACGTGTCTACCACACATACACCCTTCTCCCACGTATACAACTCCTCCGACCACAGGGTCTGTGATCGCAGCAGTGTTGTTACAGGTAGGTACACAGGTATTTCCCTAATTACACACTGCAGTCTGTGAGGCTAATGGGTTTTCCGTGTACTTCCTGATATGTACAGCACTGATTTGGCATTCAAATACACAGAGGTATGAAAACGATTCCATAACATAGAAATATTACAAATGGACTGTATACTGATAGTTATTACACAACACAACTGCTTCTGTAATAAAATTTTACATGCTTTTTTTCCCGTCATTCGTAACAGTTTTACAAAAAGCTGAAGATACTATTTATATTTAACCTTCTTGCAAGCTCTGAATCAATTCAAATGTTTCTTAAAAGTCGCCACTTTGCTGAATTCAGGATTCGGTCTGCTTAAGCTTTGTGGAATCTAAAGTTATAAAGATTGGCTTGTTAGTACCAGCTTGTATAAGTTTTGTAAACTGCCCCACCAGATGGTTTGTGGACTTTTTTTTTAAAACCCCTAAAAATCTTATCTAATCTAATTACTGTTAGACAAGTCTGAATATAGAAATCACTATGTAATATTCTGATTTTTAAATGTCTCTTCTCAATGAACATCAGATACAAACCATTTTTTGAGCAGATCATTTTCAATAAAAGATAGAAAATACTAACATCACCACTGAACTGACTAAATAATCCAAGCATCAAGTGATAAGACAAAACTGGTGGGCTACAGGCATACAGATGATGAAACATGGCCACTGAGTAGGTTCAGTTAAAAGCAAATATCAATCTGGAAAACTCTTGTTTTCACTCCTGGTATGTTCCTTGGGCTAAAGAGCTGCCCCAGTTTGTTTGCATGGCTCTGAAATCTGACTTCAAAAGATGAACAAGCACAAAGTTGGGGGCGTTACTTGAAAGACAACATGGGATGGTGGGGTAGCTGAGTGGTTAAAGCGTTCGCTCATCTCACCGAAGACCCAGGTTCGATTCCCAACATAAGTACAATGTGTGAAGCCCATTTCTGGTGTCCCCTGCTGTGATATTGCTGGAATATTGCTAAAAGTGGTGTAAAACCATAATCACTCACTCACACAAACATAACCATGGTACCAACGTTTAAATAAAACTTCATCAGACGAATCATCCGATTTCAAAGAATCATTATAGTTACACATGATTAAGTGTTATCCTGGTGCAAACACAGACTTTAATGCATTGAGCTGACTATGGAATACATAATACACCGCCACCCCCTTCCCCACCAGGAACAGCTTGTCTCCCACCAACCCCCAAAACACCCATGACAACTTATTCCTCTTGTCTGCTATCTGATGTGATACTGCAGTGATAATCCCTCACCCCTGCCACCCCCCAGGGATGACCCACGACACGTGATCGGGAGACAGGTCTCATACAAGTCAGTCTGTCTCTCGTCCTGTAAATAACGCCTACGCATGGGTCTCAGTTACTTCCCTCATTTGATACAGCGCAACACAATGGCTGCTTGATGGGCATGGCAATGTATTGTCGGTCACTGTCGGATCTGAATGTCTTGGATATTTGCATAATACACCTCACTTGGCTAAGATGCTCACCCGCATGGCAATTTATATATCAATCAAGGAAAATATTCATCTATTATAAAATCACAAAGGTTCTGTCCATTTCGTAATACTGTAGAGAATGAATTACACTTTCTATTTCTTTGTCCTGCATATAATGATTTAAGAATGTATTTTCCACAATGGCTACAATCAAATATTAATGCTACAAAACGGTATTCAATACTTTCATGTAAAGCATCCCTATTACAATATAAGGTAGCACTATTTATTTATCACGCTCTTATATTGAGAAGAGATTCAATGTAACGTGTGTGTCGCATGTTGTATATGATGTACATATCATACATATTTATTTTGTATATGGGCCGCTGGCCTTCATACAACAAACTGATTGATTGATTGATAGCGAGGTTCATGCTCATAGGTAGACTTGCAAAAGCCTCTAAGGTAAAAATTAATAGTTTAAATGATAATTTCTAAGAAATAATAAATAACAGACTGAGATCCTAGCCTTGCCTCCTTGAGGGATAGAATTACTATACATCCAGGGACTCAGCATTCAGTACAGCCTTGGAGCAAGGCTAGCTCATAGGGTGAAAGTTATCCACATGGTGAGTTATTCAGGGTGAAATTACGCTAGATTTCTGTAGAATGAGATTTATGCTCCTTCACTGGGTGAGATACACCACTGTAGTCTGAAATTCTCCTTCATGAAATAACATACTCTTCAGCAAGGCAGCTTGCTACTATTGCAGGTGAGATATTCTGCCAAGTTCCTTAAGGTCCTCCACTGGGTGAGATACACCTCTTCAGGGCAAGATGCTGCTCCAAGGGTTGAGAAACTCGTCCATGGTGAGAGATTGCACAGGGTGAAATGTTCCTCTATGATACAAGATGTTTTTTCACAGGTTTAGATACTTCTCCAGCAAGACCATTCACCTTGGAGTGTGATAATTCACCTTCTGGTGAGATGAACGTTACAATTAGGTGAGACACTTCTCCCGAGAGATAACTCACCATTGGGTAACATATAGTTTACCACCAGCTGAGATACACATTCAATTGAGTGAGATACTCCTCCATGGAAATCATTATCTACTAGCTGAAATATAATTCTTCACTGTCTAAGATACACATCCCCATTGGGTGAGATACTCCTCCGGGGAGATCATTACCTACTGGCTGAGACATAAATCTTCGCTGGCTGAGATATAATTCCCCACTGGGTGAGACACTCCTCCAGGGAGATCATTATCTACTGGTTGAGACATAAATCTTCGCTGGCTGAGATATAATTCCCCACTGGGTGAGACACTCCTCCAGGGAGATCATTATCAACTGGCTGAGACATAAATCTTCGCTGGCTGAGATATAATTCCCCACTGGGTGAGACACTCCTCCAGGGAGATCATTATCAACTGGCTGAGACATAAATCTTCACTGGCTGAGATATAATTCCCCACTGGGTGAGATACTCCTACAGGGAGATCATTACCTACTGGCTGAGACATAAATCTGCGCTGGCTGAGATATAATTCCCCACTGGGTGAGATACTCCTCCAGGGAGATCATTATCTACCAGTTGAGACATAAATCTTCGGTGGCTGAGATATAATTCCCCACTGGATGAGACACTCCTCCAGGGAGATCATTATCAACTGGCTGAGACATAAATCTTTGCTGGCTGAGATATATTATTACCCATTGGGTGAGATACTCCTCCAGGGAAATCATTATCAACTGGCTGAGACATAAATCTTCACTGGCTGAGATATAATTCCCTATTGGGTGAGACACTCCTCCAGGGAGATCATAGTCAACTGGCTGAGACATAAATCTTCACTGGCTGAGATATAAATCTCCACTGGGTGAGACACTCCTCCAGGGAGATCATTATCTACTGGCTGAGACATCAATCTTCGCTGGCTGAGATATAATTCC